TCATTTAAACCTTGCAATTCAACCCAGAAGTTGTATTACAAGACCTATTACCTATAACTGTATTAGGTTCGATTCTTCGATTCTTCGATTGGTATAAGGTTCTCACCGTCAATTCCCATTAGATATGGGTATGTTAGGCTGGTGCTCTCCTGATGGAATCTGTCGCTATCCCATAAGCTTCACAGAACGACGTCGTGTTTCGTACCATCGACGAAGTGGAATCTCCAGTATATATTCCATTCTTCGTAGAGACTGATCCCACCTATCTCGGTATGATGGTATTGGAATAGTGGTGGAATTGCGTCGATCTATAAAATGGTAAAGTTCTAGTCTGTTGGAAGACCAGTCTGAGTTCGTTTCACGGGAGGCCTGTCGGCGGCCAGCCCTGGAGCAAAGTAGACACAAACCCGCTATTCTGTGTTCCCTTGGAGAGGGTAGTTTAAAGCTTGCAACAAGGTTGTTATTTCTCTCACTGCATCTAGCTGCTTAGGCGTTGGCAGTATCGATTTCATATTCTTCATGTTGAGGATACCTACCGTAGCGAGAACCCCTGGATCGCGAGAATGATTCTAAACCTCATACAATCATTCCATGCATAAGATCGAAGGAAATTGGGCACTTTCATTCTTTACCTAAGAACCATTCTATCTGTTCATACGTACCTAGGTACCTATGAACGACATAGGGGAATGCCATATGCGGTAACGGCTGTGCGATAAACTGGACAAGCCACGAGGGAGACCACATATGTATTTCGATACACGTATGACAACCATAGAAAAGTGAGGATGAAGCCAGCTAGCAAGTTTCTACCCCTATCCTACCCGACTACTGGAGAAGTAACAGAGTATCTGTGCTATGTAAGTATCTCGCGGTCCGGCGGGAACTCGACCGCCCACCACCACCACCACGATCCCAGGCAGCGACGACGATCAATCGAACCCCAGAAGAACAACTCTTATCGCCTCAGAACTATACATCAATTCCGTAGTTCGACCGAACGAAGGCGATATAGGGGGTAGGCATGTATACAGTTACGTGCCATACTGTCTTGTCGTGACCCCCTTTAATTCCCACCGGGACCAGACTTCAAAACCTGTTTTCGACTTATAGAAGCCCTTCCAAGTTTTCGACAGACAGCCAACATCTTCCCCACTAAGCTAGCTTGTGCCTCTACTCATATCCTGTTTCAAATAACCTCATAGTGTATATATAATCATCAACAACCAAAGCACGCGAAACGAATCAAACTCGGGTCAAGACGAGTGGCAAGTTGTATATGCAATATTTATATCGACCGCGATGCACGTATGTGACATGGCTATCAGGTATCTCCACCACCCCTATCCGGGGCGAGCAGTCCAGCCCTGGGTTCTTTCTCTTATTTTATTTATTCCCTTCTGTTCGACGAACGTAAACCCGAGTTCAAAAAAAAAAGTAAACATCCGTCCCGTCCCTTCCTTCGCGCCGCTGATATGAACAATGCGAAAGAACTTTCTCTTGAGGTATCATGTAATAAGTTTCACCTGACCCAATGCCAATAATTTGTCGTAGCCCAAAACAAGTAATTCGGCAAAAAAAAGCACAAAGTCTGCTGTTTCCCTTCCCTAACCGTGAACTCCCCGTTCCATGTTGAGTGCTAAAATTCGTGCTTCTCCCGATGCTCGTGAGCTACATATAGATAGTAGTAGCACACTGAACCCGATATTCCTTATCTGTCGATCACTATGATTGGTCTAACTGCCATTGCGTCTAGGCATGGGCATGGCGCTATCGCTGCGGCTCCTGTCCCTACCAGCGCCTTGTCGAACAGCGTCACTATAGCTAGGAATCGGTGGAATGCTCGGTCTGAGGGTGGCCGCGGATGCTCCACGACTGCGTCCCGTCCGGATTAATGGGACTCGATCGCTATCGGAACCACTGCCAGAGCTTTCCTCATCCGAGTGCTCTGGGCTGGTATATTCGGGCGGGGGATGTGAGGCTTCGTGTAGACCCAGCCCGACAACATCAATGACGTGGTCCCCTGGAGCACCTCCGTCATTGCCGCTGTTGCTTGCCTCGCCTATCTCATCTGGAGGGACCAGCTGTGCAAGGGAAATATCAGTAGGACTCCTTTGCGGCCCTGGACTCGTGGGCGGAAGTACTCTAAAGTTGCCACTCCTTGTTCGCCCATGACCTGGATCTAAACCTGGGCCATTATATCTCTGTACAGATTGAGAATAACCTTGTCCTCTAACCGGCGAACCTGAATATTCATCTTTCCGACGCCCGGTCTCAAGTAAGATGCTTCCCTGTTCACTCCCGTACGGTGGCGGCGGTGCCAGACTGCCGGTTATCGGGGCCAGTCCCCATTTCTTCACATTAGCCTCGATGAACACGAAGCCAGCCTGGCCAAGGTTGACGTGTACGGTGCACGGCCCATTTGCGCCGATAGATGGGAAGAAGTTTTGCGACTTTAAGCCGTGGACTACGTCGTCCAATCGCTTTCCGTTGCGAGTGAAGAAAATGGTTCCTGTCCTAGGTCGATAACCAACTCCGATAACGTCACCCTGCACATATTGAGGCCCATAAGTTGATGCGCTGAAGGGTTGATTATATCGGCGGGCGCCAACGGATGTGTAGGCAATAGAGTGTTTATGAAATCCTGAAGCGACAAGAGGTTAGTTTAAAAGTTGGTACATATAATTCGGATAGAAGGAACCCGCATACCTGGAAGTCTGAACAACGGATAAGGCTTCGTGCTCATGCCGATGCTCAGTAATGTAGTTTCGGGTTTATCGTATATTTTGGCCTCCCAATAGTAAACTTCGTTTTGTTTTGGTACGGGTAAATTGCTCATGACGGTACATTCGGAGTCGAAGAATTCGATTTCTGTTCTCCCCTCCACAAAGCAGTTGGCGATTTCCAATTCGGGTTCAAATTCCCACGCTGAAACGCCTTTCTCTTGTATAGCTAGATATTGCGATAAGGAAATGTCCGTCGAGACCGATTCGGGAGGGTTTGCTTGGATAAATGCTGGGAATCTATCAGCGCATCGTCCTTGACGATAAACATTACCATAATGGCATGTGACAAGTTCACTCAATACCTTTGGCCCTGAAGTATTCTATCCTTTGCATATCATCCATAGACTCTAGGGCTTCGGCCTCCTCCCTCGCAAATGCCTGCTCGTCGTCATATTCGCCAGGCCGACCGATCCGGTCGAGGAAGATGCGACCGGAAGTTGTGTATCTAAAGAAGTAGACGATAAGGAAAACGAGAGCTATGAGGATAGCGGAACCGAAGGAAGATAAAATTCCGATCAAGATGCCGTCGAGGCTCGCCATGCTGGATATAAGATTCCGGTCGGTGTGGCGGGAACGAGGGGATATATAATTAGACCGGGGGACGTTTCCGTCACCGTGAAATCTCGATCATTCGGAGGTGGGTTGGGTCGAGGATAAAGTACCTCGATGTAGTAGCTAAAAATGAAAAAAAACAAGGGAGCGAATTTATCGTATGCGGTAGTTCCAAGACAAGAAGAATCAATAGGAGGGGGTTTCGATCGTTATTGAAAAAAGGGTGAATATGAAAGGGTTGATGTGGTTGATTGGAGAGGGATATTGGTCCTTGGCTCTTCTTGGAGGGACGTCGGGTGTCAAGTCAAGTGTCGTGTGTCGTCGTACTACTGATACACCTCTCTTGCCCGGTGCACCGCGCACGCACACTGGTCGCAAGATACCTAATCCTAGGACTTAGGTACCTAATTCTGATTCCGGTCTAGTCGATTAAAGCGCCCTGGGTCGCTTATTGGTATCTACTACTGGGAGGTCTTCAATTTGGTCGTCTCGACTTGACGGAGTAATTGAACAGAGGAGAGAGAACCTTGGAATATTGGGAAGTAATGGAAAGAAAGGAAAAGGGAAAAGGGAACAAAATGCCTGCCTTGCAGGTCGTCGCGTATCACTCAAAAAAGTTGGAGAGGAATGGGAAAGAAGAAGAATGGTCGAGGAAACGGGAAGAAGGAATGGATGAATCAATTCAGCTTTGGCAGCGTCTGGTTACTGCGCCAGGTAACCGCAATCCACAATCCGCAATGCAAAGTTAGGTGTACAAGTTGTACGCTGTACATGTAACGGACCTAACTTTTCACCGCTGCTGGAGCCTATCCCGTCTCAGCGCTGTACCTAGAAACCTGTGACTGAACCCAAAAAGGATATGAGCGTCACGGGATAAGTGTGGGTAGGTACGGGTACGCATCGGGCTGGAACATCCGGATTGGTACGAGACCTTGATAAGGATTGTTGCTCCAAGTCAATTTCTGTTAGTCTCTCTGACGTAATTTTGCCCTACGACACTAACAATCAGAAGGTGGCGGGAACCTTTAAGCTGGAAAGGGTTGTTTCCACCGACCCTACGAACCCAACAATGGCTCTGTGGCTTTCGTCCAGCTAGCCCAGCCCAGCTCAACCCTTCCCATTCCCAATTTAGCTAGTGACGCCCGCTGACACTTGCGGTGCTTGTTGAAGATCCCACCTCCTGGAAACTCCTTGGATCACTTTTCCCTGTATCATCGTCACCTGGTTCTGTATTCCTGCCAATAATTGACTTCATTATTACTTTTCCTGAGCCTTATCTAGGCACACAATATTTCCGTAACATGTTATCAACGTGCGCCCTAGCGCTTCACTTTTGTCTTTTAATCATGAACTAGGCTCAAAGTTCAAACGCGATATCATGTCTATAGATAGCTGTGTGAAGCTCGTCCAATTGTGCAAATGCTAGTAATCCACGACATCCCAGATAAGCGCGGATCGGCCAGGGGGCTTGCATCAGCAAGCGCATTCGTCTCGAAACACTGTCTCTAGGCGCTTTTCCGGTCTCGAGATAGGTATTATGATATTATGCGTCGATGCGCTAGACTTTTACACACTGTGACCTGTTTACAGAAACCCCGAACGACTGGAACTCTAATTGCCTCCATAATCACTGGAAATGCAAGTGATAAAGACGCCTATATGCAAAGGTAGAATGTGTCCATTATTATCTCCTATTTTGGAGCATTCCTTCTAGAAAATCTTAGTTGTCAATTAACCTCCGATGACTTTGGTCGTGCCTATGATCCGGATAGCAACTAAACATCATCCTAACGCCCACCAAATTCCAGGGTATAGCTTTTGTAGTCCGCAATGGCCAAATAGTTATCCATCTGGCCTGAAAATTCCCCAAATACAAACGCTTAATCTCCCCCGCAATGCTATCCGTGTCTGTCGGTCTAGATTCCTTATGAATACGCTTATACTACCGGTCTCCATGCACCGAGGCAAGTCTCCTGCCAATCAAGGCACTCAAGGCGGGGTCCCGATGTAGCATGGTGGTTCGTAGCAATACTAGACGATGAAGTGAGTTCTGGCGTACCTAACGAGGGCTTCGTCGACTACGGCTGCGGCTTCGATTTCTGCGATCTCTCCTAGAGTCAAGGCTTCGGTCTCTTCTGTCCCTGCGCGAATCGAGACTTCGGTCCCTTCGATCCCGGTCCCTGTCTCGTCGCGGCTCGGTACTTCTATCGCGACGGCTTCGCCTATCCTTGTCTCTGTCGCGATCTTTGTCGCGATCGGGCTCACGCTCTCGGTACCTATCGCGGTCACGGTCATGATCCCGGTCTCGATCTCGGGTTCCCTCACCGCGGTACCGATCACGAGATCTACGACGTTCGTGATCTAGGTTCCTGTCTTTATCACGACTTCGGTCGCGATCTCGACGGCGACTCGGGCTTCTGCTTCGGCTTCGTCGACGTTCTCGCCGTTCATCTCTGTCCCGGTCCTTATCTTTATCCCTGCGTTCGTCTCGATCCCGTTCCCGATACTTATCTGGTCGATCCCGGTCGCGATCGACAGGCCTGTACCGGTCAATTTCGTCAGGGACACGAGATCTCTTTATCTCAGGCGATCGGTCTCCTGTGCTCCACTTATCATCAACTCCTGGAACTGGCAATCCCTTTTCGCGAGCCTCGCGCTGAGCAGCCAAATAAGCCTTAGCTTCTTGTTCACGCTTCTTGATTTCTCCTTGCTTCCAGGCTTCGGCATCTGTGAGTTCAGGTTTGCTAGACGTCCCTGGCCGGGAACGAGATCGACTTCGAGACGCGCGCGAGCGAACTTTTTCCGCTCGGGGTTTTGGTGAGCGGGATCTATCTCGTCGATCTTCGCGTCGATCTTCTCGTCGTTCAGGACGAGCACGTGAGCGAGTTCTATCACGCTTGTCTCGGTCATCCCTACGCTTTGTAGATCGACTTCGTTCCTTGTGCTCGGGTTTATATCTATCCCGCGAACGACTTCTCTCGTCCCTATCGCGGTGTGATCGACCACGAGAGCGAGTCCTATCTCGTTGCCCGGGTCGGTAGAAGTCCCTATCTCTCTCCAGAGGCCGGTCACGGTCACGGGAACGGTCACGAGAACGGCTACGGTCTCGACGATCTGAACGGTGTTTTGATCTGCTTCGATCTTTTCTGTCAGACCTAACACGAGAGCGAGTGCGCTCTCGAACACGGTCGCGGTCGCGATATCTGCGGTCATCATCAGCGCCACGCGATCGGTCACGATGGTGCCGAGAAGAAACGGAGCTAGGCCGTCGGTCGTCTTTAGCCTTAGTATCCTTGGAAACTTTCGAACCCTTCGCCTCTTTCTCTTTAGACTCAGCAGGCTCCTTGGATTGTTTAGACTCCTTAGAGGGCTTCGTATCTTTCGCATCTTTCGATTCTTTCGTATCCTTGGCGTCCTTGGCATCATTTGCGTCCTTAGCGTCTTTCATCACGACATCTTTAGATTCGGACTTCACAAGCTCGGGTATCTTTTTAGAGTCTGAGTTCTTGATCGAGTCGCGACGTATCGGCTGAATTGCAGAAGCGGGCTTCGTCCTTCTAGGAGGCGGCACAAGGGCTTCGTCAATCTCAAGCTCCGGCTGCTTAGCAGTACCTCTTTTACTTTCCCGTAGGAGATCTTCAAGTGCTTCCTTCTCAAGTCTCTCATGATCTTCCTTGGTAAGTTGTTTCTTAAGTTCCTCAGGCTTTCCCCGATCTCGATCATCTCTGGTAGATCGATCACGGTGTCGGCGCTCTCGGCTGTCGCGACGACGGCTATGACTACGGTCACGGTTTCGATCTCTGTCACGATCCCGGTCCCGATGGCGCGACCTCTCCCGAGATCGGTGTCGAGATCGGCTTCGAGATCTGTGTCGAGCCTCACGTTCCTGGTCCTTCTCCCGATCTCGCTCTCTTGCCTTCCGACGCTCATCTCTCTCCTTCTCTCGTTCACGTTCGCGCTCTGCTTCTTTCTTTTCGCGTTCGCGTCGCCGAGCATCTCGCTCTTCTTTTCGCTTGGCCTCGGCTTTTTCTAATTCGCGTTCTCTCTCACGTTCTCGTTTCTTACGTTCCTCTCGCTCAATCTTGCGTTTTTCTTCAATAATCTGCTCCTCTTTCGCTCGTAATTCGCGTCGAATCCGATCGCGCTCGTCCAAACTACGAGCCGACTCGGCTGCATACTCAACATCTGTCTTGGATCCGCGAGTTTGTTCTTCCTTTGCTGCCTCAACACCAATTTCAGCCTCGCGAAGTTCGCGCATGCGCGTCTCGATAGCCTCGACATCGATAAGTTGATCAAGGAGTTCATCGGCTTTCTGGTATACTCCGGATCGGTCAAGGGCGCCATCAATAAGGGCTGCGGCCTTTCGGCGATCGAGACTTAAAAGCTGGGCCGGGTTGCGTTCAAGTTCCTGTTCGGCGACTTCGAGAATGGATTTAGTGACTTGCGCTTCATAATCCTATTTGCAGAAATACATTAGTCCTCTAAATGATGTAGTGATTTGATAGTAAATCATTGAAGTCTAGCTAATCAATCGCGATTGGTACTAACGCTTTGTTCAAACTTCTCCCAAACTTGCTTTCGAATCGCGTCATAACCACCCTTTTTCTTGAAGCTGTGTGCCAATCCCTCGATTGCCGAACGCGTAGCAGATGTTAGAGGAAGATCCGAAGCCTTGAATTTTCGAGGCGGAAGAGTCGTAACGCCAACCGGGGTAGCAGTCTGGTCTGCTGAGGCCATGTTCACGGCCGAAGAGGCCGTCTGGCCTGTACAGAAACGTTCAAACTAATGAAGGTATGTGCATGTAAAATGGAATCGAATTGAATTATTAACGCGATGATGATTTAGAAGCTTGGATTACGGATTTTACGATGGGAAAAAACAAGCTTGCAAAGAAATCAAGTTGGAAGGAACGTTAAGTGAACGTTGGTGTGAAGAGGAAGGAACCACAGAAGTTATCCTAGACAATTTGAGATTGAGCAGCCGCAACTTCTTGAACTTGAACCTTTGGGAAATCTGGAAGGAGCTAATGGTATCGATAAAGAAATACATAGGTACATACACAAATATCTGATTCATGTGGTCCGTGCAGCAGCTTAGATTTCGCTTTGTTTGATTGGTGCTTCCAATTTACAATTGATGAACTTCAACTCTGTGATCCGGCCCTCTCCAACAGATGTTATCTTGACCAACTGCAAATCGCGCAAAGCCAACGCCAATTCAGGTTCATTCGGGGGCCTGACATATACGAAGCGATCCCAAGAAAAGGCCTATCGAGGCAATACCCCACTCCTATTCTCCACGATGATTTCCAGAACCCTTTTTTGGGCAGGCTTCGGTATGACCTCAGAGGACCACACGTCGGTCGGATAAGCTGGCCATGACTGACCTAGAAATACAGGCGTCGCTGTCCGCTTCTGGCAACTCGGCCTCGAAATGCGACCGTTATTCAACCGAGGCTCTCTATGGGCTTACCCTGTCTTTGCCGGAGTTGGTGGAAGTTTCGGATACTGGTTACAAGGTGTCGACGAGAGACAAGTAGCAGTGTTGGAGGAGCGAAAACAAGCCCTTCTTGAGAAGAGATCAAGGAAGGCGGCGAGGGATGCACAGAATGCGCAGGCCGCCGCATGAAAATATAAACACTTTAAGATACTTGACGTGCTTGGTTCAGTGTATATATAATGAGGAATCAAGGGACGAAAAAGCTATCAAGAGGGGCAAGTCAACAAGTCACTTACGGATAAGGTAGACAGAGAAATCCAAGATGGTCAACGAGTTTGCATTTCATGCCTTATGGCAAGGTCATTACTAAAAGCCTTGATATCCATCAGACCTCCGAACTTTCAAGCAAGTCGAATGCTTTTGCCTAAGTCTTTATACCTCACTATCTAACTACGTGGTATCTCAGTAGCCCCCCTTCTAGTTGGACTCCTCTAGTTTCCGTAGCAAATCCGGTACTGACGTAGGCTGTACAGTTCCTAACTCCGAGATGACCAGTGACAAGTATTTGTCCGGAGTGGTGTCATATAAGAGCCTAAATGATGCGCTTGAACTTCGTTCCGGGTCGATCTCGTTGTATGTAAGGGAATCTGTGGAAACCCGCTCGGTGATATTGATAGACTCGCATAGGACAAGAACAGGTATATCTAACTGCTTTGCAGCAATGGCGAGGTCGCAAGTTCCTGAACGAGCATACATGGATCCGTTGTTGAACATGGACTCAGCAGAGACGAAGATCTTGTTGACGCTTGGGAGATGGCATCTCAACCCACCAAAGTCTCCATAATAAGACACCTTGATTTCCGATGCAGCCAGGTTCTTTGCTAGCGTTTGGCCCTTCTTTTCATAAGGGTCATCAAGGATAACGACACTGAATTTTCTTTCGGCGAATCGGTGGGCTTGAACGAGGGTGCGCTCGATAATACTACTCCATCCAAATGTCAGTATGACATCTCCGTTCTGGATCTTTTCCGTGGCTTTCTCAGTAATTACAAGATCGGCCATGCTGATTCGTTCCTGTATGAATGTGTCGATGCTGCTACACAGCTGTTTCTTGGCCTCCAGTTCAGGAACATCAGGATCGATCTTGCTAACTTGCAATTTGAGCCAGCGGATTGCATTTCCCATAGAAAAGCACATAGGTCGACATGCAGTGAGATATTCAATCTGAGGATTTAAGACATGGGGCGTTAGATGTCTTGCAAGTGTGTTGCCGGGAGGAGTGGTATATGAATCGATGACCTATTCTGTCATTAGCATTGTTATATGGGTACCAAGTAGGTACTTGCGAATTTGGTTTTGTTAAATTAAATACCTTTTTAAAGGCTAGCAGGGTTGCTTTTAATCGTGTGATGCTTTCGTCAATCGTGAATGTAGCCATTTGTTGGCCCAATGCAAGAACGGTAGGATGAACGTCCTTGTCTGCCTGGGTTATAGGAATCCTCTTGGCCATAGAAAGATGGCTAAAGCATTCAGGTATCGTGAATTTGGGTTCAATAGGAACCACAGATGCAGGCCCCTTTGACACTGCTTGTTTTCCTGCTGCCGGAGTTGTCGCTGCACCATCTTGCTTCCCCTTTGATTTCCCGCCCTTAATTTCGCCAGCAGATGGACCTAATGGTCCAGGAGAGGACGACACAGCCGCTTCACCCTTTGCAACTTCCTTCGATACCTTTACTTGTGCTCGTCTTGCAGCTTTTTCTGCCTTGGCCTTTGCTTTCAATTCCGCACCAGAAAGTTTAGATGGTTTTGATGCTTCCGCCGCCTCACTCTTGACGTTCTTTTCTTTACTTTCTTTGGTTGGCTGAGGCTGAACCTTGTCATTTTTTCCAGCTTGTTGGGAGTCGGCCTCCGGAGGAGACCGATCCTGTGTTGTTGACATGGTAAGGCTTCTATGTTGACGAGTTCCCCAATAAAGAACGACGATGAAAATTATGAAAGAACCATAAAATAGCATGAAAAGTGCAACAGATTACAGTCACAGGTGGGATTTAGGTTTCAAGGGAAGAGCGAGGATTGCCGAATAAAACTAGATAGCTTTGAGAAGCTCTTTCCTGTTTGCGATAAATTTAGTTGCGACCACTTTTTTGAGTCACCTATATCGCGGGGTGTGTGCAAGGAATATGTCTTTAAAGCCACGCGGTTCCAAGGGTTATCGAATGCGATGGAGGGGTTTATAGGATGGGGCTGACACTAAATGCACTAGCCACATTCCGCCACAGGCATAAAATTTGGAAAATTTAACTAAAATCACACTAAAAGGTTAAGTATTATTTCTATTCCTGTAGTATCAAGATACTTATCAGCGGCCATATCTACCTACGGAAAGCAATTCCTACCAGAAATCGGGAGCCATACTCCCGCTTCCATGACGGTACCATTTCAACCCTCAGCGACGGTCCAGTATCATGAAGCACAAGATGAACGGTCCATATATTAATCCCTTGCTGCGTACGCGCTAGACGAAGCATACAAGACTGTTGGATGAACAAGAGACGATGGCGATCGCAGCTTGACAATTTAAAACAACTCAACGAATGTTCGTTGCCATAAACATCCTAAACTCTGAGGGAGGAGACCAGGAATCGAACGAATCTCCCTCACGTTCGACCTGAAATTCAAATGTCCACCCTCGATTGCCTGGGAAGGCGTTACGCGATATGAATGCTGCGTCATGAAAAGTGCAAGTAAAGATATCCAGGGACGGCATCTTGGGAATTCCACGAGCTATGGCAGCAAGAAAAGGCTCGAATGTAGCCGGTGCAGGACCATCACGGAAATAGACATCAAGGTCGAGGTCCTCTTGCTCGGAACTTGTCATTCCCAAAGGGGGTTCACCAGTGAAATACCAATCCCCAGTAGGGGTTACTTTAGAGAGCCTGATGCGCAAGCATTTGAGGGACTCCGAGAAATTTTCACCCTTGTCGTCTAGACTAAATATTGTAGGCGACAAGGTGAAAATGCCAACCAGTGTTAGCATCTTCAGATTCGGTAACTTCATGATTCGGTTCACAGCTAGACTTAGGCGGTCATTTCCGTCAACTCCACCATAATTCTCGGGTTTCCAACTTTCATTTATCGGATCCTGGTCAAAAAGCGCGATCCTCAGGGACTCCAGGTGCGAGAATTTGGTTTCTGACAGTATCGATGCTAAGGATTCTCTCAAGCTGACCCTTTGGCCATATAACTCACGAGGAGCATTCTCGACGTCCTAGTCCAGTTCCTCCAAACAAGGTAAGGCTTCGTAGACCATTGACATGGTACTGGGGAGGATGTTTAACCTTTTCGCCTCGAAGTGGGTGATGAATGGTAGCGATGGAAGGACTTGAAATTTGTCGAATCCAACATGTGTGCCGCAGCCACGAACAGCCACGTAATCGATAGAGTTTGTGCCCAATATCGTGAGATGAAATCGCCGTTTAGGATGTAGAACTGCTGCGTCGTCGTTCCATTTTCGCAGGCCCTTAAAAATTCTACAAACGATAGTGGTAAAATGTCGGTCACGTAGTAAGCTGAGCGGCTCATAACCCTTGGTTATCTTGGTATTGTTATTGGGCAACCATATGTTGAAACTAATATGTCGGAGTAGACAGCGACGACGCGTGCTGGCGAAAATAGCGTCAAACTGTTCCAGGTCTTGTACGTTACGAATTTTTTTGTTGATTTCGGCAAATGTTGTGGTCTCGAGCAAAACCTGGAACCAATGACATACCGCCGTATACGGGGCAAGACGTCGTTGGTCAAGGTGAGATACTATGCATAGTATAATTTCTGGTGGTAACTTATCCATACTAAGTGCTCTGATATCTTCATGGGGTTTGTTTAGACTGGCAATGCCGATGAAGTGAAGGCCTGTCTAAACACATTGAATCTAGAAATGTAGTTTACGTAGAGAGCCATAGAAGTAAGACGCATCCATGTATGTGTGTCTCTAACAAATGGGTGGTTCCTATCAATTATGGCAATACAAACCTCCCATGAGTCAAGCTTTATTTAAATCTTGATTGATTGCAACTTATGGAAAGAGAGGCCGATTATAGATAAGTTGGTCTTGGTATTTTTAAATATCAACCTCAAGTGCTTGTAAGCTTAGAACGATACCTACTTACCACTTAACACTTGAAATATTTCAGTTTATTGCATCGTAGGTATTCGTTCCTCATTCTAGTATGTTCTATTAAGAATATCGAATAGATAATATCGGCATGTGATAATTTCTCTTCCACGGCCTAGTTTCAATGCTTCTAAGTAAATGCGGTCGATATAGGATGGAGAGTTCCTTCAATGTTAGCTGCCGCGAGCTGCCGCGAATAACTAGCCTTAGTCGAGTTCTAAGTTTTTAGCACGGTATCGAAAAGCAAAGGCAGTTGGCAGTTAGGTATGGACGCGATTACCCCCAACTCCTCTCGGTGTAACATGTGTACGACCACGGCAACATTCCTACGTACACCCTCTGTCTGATTGGTACCTGCGTCTAGGTGATATGATGTACCTGGAAGGTGGTGCCCTTTAACCGTGTTCGTACCCGACACCGGTTAACTCCAACTCCACAAGCGACATCCTTCCGACTCTCGTCTGGGCGTTTCCCTAAAAAGGTCGGAAAGATGCCGTATCAAGGTCCGACTAAGCCACTCAGCCCGTAAACCCCGCGAAACGACCCCGCGCCCCCCAAACAGCTTTGTTAGTTAGACGGTACATAATGCCTAGGTAAGTGTACCTAGGTAGGTACGGGCAAGAGCTGAAGGTCTGCATGTCCGGTCGAAATCCATCATACTGACATAATCTCCTTCCTGTACACCTAGCTTTAGCCCTTTCAGGTGAAGGACGAGCGCATGTCTTGTGCGTCCCCTTGCTTTTGTACCCCCAAGTACATATATGGCTCCGAACCCATTTAAACAATTCCGTTCCTTAATAAAAATCCTACATACCTTAATTGTCATAATCTTGCAAAAAGTGATACCCCCGCAAAGACCCGGACCTGGATCCAGACCCGAGATGTCGACAAAGCATTTCATCAACGATCCCACCCTTTTGGTGAACTCGGCCCTTCAGAGCCTCACGCTGACTAATCCTTCCGTCGCCTTGGATGCCGACAACAAAATCGTCTACAAGAGACCTAGTCGTGGACCTTCGCAGGTTTCAATTATTAGCGGCGGAGGTAGCGGACATGAGCCAAGTTTTGGTGCCTTTGTTGGCTCCGGCCTGCTCTCCGCCGCGGTGGCCGGCACTATCTTCGCATCGCCTAGCGCAGAGCAGATTCGCAAGGCGATAACTTCGAGGGTGGACACCGACAAGGGTATTCTGGTAACAGTCATGAATTACACAGGTGACGTTTTAAATTTCGGTATGGCGGTTGAAAAGGCCAAGGCTGCCGGTTTAAATGTCGAGATGGTTGTCGTCGGCGATGATGTTGGCGTCGGGAGAGAAAAGGGGGGAAAGGTGGGTAGGAGAGGAATTGCCGGGACGGTGTTAGTGCACAAGATCTCTGGTGCCCTCGCAGCCCAGGGACGTAGTCTCGAGGAAGTTTACAGGGTCGCCAAACTCACAGCAGCCAACCTAGTAAGTGTCGGGGCGAGTCTCGAACACGTCCATGTGCCTGGGAGAGCAGCGGATCCGAAAACCGGCGCGAGCCTTAGAGCTGACGAGGTTGAAGTCGGGATGGGAATCCATAACGAGGCTGGGTCGGGACGAGCGAAGGTTAAGCTTCCGGAGCTTGTGAGCACGATGCTCTCCCAACTATTAGACCAGAACGACAAGGACAGGGCATTTCTCAATGTCAACTCCAATGAGGTTGTTCTGCTTGTGAATAATCTTGGAGGCGTCAGTGCCCTCGAACTGGGCGGTATCACTACGGAGGTTATGACGCAATTAGAATCTTGGGGTATCCAGCCTGTGAGGATTCTGAGTGGAACTTACAGTGAGTATATGTCGTGGTTATGAATGGTGTCAGTTACTAATCGCAAATACTTTAGTGACGAGTCTGAATGGACTGGGGTTCAGCATCTCATTACTCAATGTGGTTAATACGGATATCGGTGGGCCGAGCATGATCGAACTGCTGGATTACCCATGTGAAGCTACTGGCTGGTCAGCACCGATACATAAAACCACCTGGGAAGCGAAGAACACTGCTACCAGGGAAGAAACCACCGGATCTGATCAAATTGTAAAGACGAGTGGTCTCAAGGGTGATGCGAGTGTGTTCAACAGTATTTTGGCCTCAGGCTTGCAAGCTGTCATCGCGGCTGAGCCAGATGTGACGAAGTACGACACCGTGGTTGGAGATGGCGATTGCGGAATTGGTCTTAAACGCGGTGCCGAAGGTAAGTTAGAGTCCAAATACTTAGAATAGTCATAAGCTAATCCTATATAGCTGTCCTTAAGCACCTGCAAGAGAAGGCTGCAACTGGAGATGTCGTTGTTGACGTTGCTCATATTGTCACAGTAGTCGAGAAAGAGATGGACGGTACGTCGGGTGCGTTGTTCGCTATCTTCCTCAACGCTCTTGTACACGCACTCCGTGTCCTGGCGCCAGGCGACGCTACCCCACAACTCTGGGCCGGCGCTCTGAAGCAGAGCTGTGACGCGCTTTCAAGATACACACCAGCCAGACCTGGCGATCGCACATTGGTAGATGCTCTATATCCGTTCGTCGAGGTCCTTGGAAAGACTGGTGATCTCAAGAAAGCCGCTGAAGCATCTAAGAAGGGCGCCGAAGATACCAAGGGCATGATTCCCAGCTTAGGCCGGGCGGTATATGTCGGGGGAACCGGATTTGAGCAAGTACCAGATCCCGGTGCTTGGGGGCTGGCATGCTTTTTCCTTGGGCTTGCTGGAATAAAAACTGAAGATGAAGGTTGGGAGGCTATATAACCAGGTTATCGCACACGAGAGTTATAATGAAGTAATGAAACGGTGTGACAGTTCAAAACATGTATTCAGATTTAGTAGCATTTGCCTTAATTCATCCCTTGACCATGACCTTATCTGCTCCTCAATCTGATCATTATAGGCTGCTTTATCAAGCTATAACCTTCGTAATGAGCATGACACACGGCAAATTATTGCATCAGCATGCCGTCTCGACCCTCGCGCCTTTTGTTTACCTATTTTAGACACTGGATATAGTGAAGTGTATGCCGCGTAATGGAATTAGGGTTATGTATCCGGGTTCCTTTTTCGCCCCTCTAGCTGAGTAGAACTAGAATAACCGAATCTCCTCTCAAAAACCTATTAAATGAATAATATTAGCACCACTGATACCTATTCAAGGTGTATAAGGCAGGTAACGTACATCTTGCTGATGAAACGGTCCTTGTTTACAGGTCTGCCCTTCTTGCCACTGGAAAGTTTTGGCGTCTCGGTCCACATCTCCTTCACATTCTCAAGTACCATGTTGCAATGTCTGTCGAAAGCCTTGACACGCGCTAGTAGCTTACGGTTATTGCGGCAGGAGATGAGCACCTGGGTGTGGGATCGGACGGCAGTTTGGAGGATGGATAGAGGACCTGCGCTGAACTCGTGCTCTTCGAGAAGAGAGATCTCGTACTCCCTGTTCTTTACGTTAGAATGGAAAAAACGAGGGCGGTATAGGATAAGTTTGATTGGGTTGCATACGTCAATTCGTTACGAGGCTTCGTGAGAAGCTCCCTAGGAAAATAATATTAGTTTTAGTTTCCATCAAAGACAGACATAGTATTTCATGCTTACTGAATCTTTGTGTCGGCCATGATGATAGCTGCTGTCAAGTTGTTGAATTGAAAAGCAGCTTATGGTGGATTGGCGCAAGGCTGAGAATGCACCGTCACGTCCAATTCAAGAAATCTCTAAAGTCTTTGGTGCGACAAGGAAAAAGAAAGATTTGATTGGTTTAGAGATTGTTAAATCGCGTTAGTTACCTAGCTGCCTACTAGGTAGGTAGAATCATATGCCAGCGATATCCCCGACGGCCCCACTTATGTTTAGCACCGGAATTTTGTGGTCCTGGAAATAAGTATGTACCTATGTACTCTTTGTACTTCGGTAAAAATGAAAAAATATGCCCGCGGTTTTGACGACTTCAGTCTACTGAAGCTCTTAACTCGACTTTCCTCGATGCGCAACGTATCTTGAGGTCGTGCATCGAGCCAAAAAAAAATAGGATAGATGTCTTTCAGAGTCCTTATAAGGAGAGCTGGTTCAGCAGTGGAAGCTGCTGCTTCTCCTTGCTGGAGATCCAGCCCAACAATGCCATTAAGAGCCAAGATATTAGACCCTCGACGGACGATACGGGCACAAGTATGACTATGAAAATACCCCCTTTTCGTTTGAACATTGTGCTAATAATTAAAAGCAGATGTCTACGGAGTTTACAGGTAGTACGGGTTATTCTGATAGAGATTTCCCGGATGCTGCAAAAGTTCCTAAGGAACTAGATACGGATGATCCCCGTGATGTACTCTTCAACAATCTATATGGTCTGCGGACCATCGAACTTAACCGACCAGAGAAGTTAAATGCTCTCGATGGCTCGATGATTCGAAAGATCTTTCCACGATTAGTCGAATGGGAGAAATCAGATTTAGCAAACGTGATTGTCGTTAAAGGTGCCGGCGGGGCATTTTGCTCAGGAGGTGATGTGGCTGCGCTCGCGACACAGAATAAAGAGGGCCCAGAAGGCCAGCGCAAGTCAATGGAGTACTTCTCTCTAGAATACCAGCTGGACCACTATATTGCAACATATCGAAAGCCGTATATCGCATTCATGGATGGATATACTATGGGTGGAGGTGTTGGACTTAGTGTCCACGCTCCGTTCCGTATTGCCACCGAGAGAACGGTTTTCGCCATGCCAGAGACCAAAATAGGCTTCTTCCCCGATGTCGGGGCCTCATTCTTCCTACCTAGAATGCCAGGCTCTGTAGGCACTTACCTAGCACTTACAAGCAGTCGCTTACACGGAGCAAACGTGTTCTATTCAGGTCTTGCGACACACTACTTACACTCGACGAGTTTGCCTAGTTTAGAATCGCGTCTGGCTGAATTGCGATTCAGGGATTATGACAGTTTAGAAGACCGCCTAGCTATCATCGAAATGACCATCGAAGAGTATGCTACAGGTCTCCCTCACGACGTTCCTATCCTACTGCGCGGAGAACTCCGGAAAGCCATTGACCGGTGTTTCAGCAAAGACACCGTTGAGGATATTATAAATGCCTTGAAGCAAGAGCAGGGATCTACCAAGTCATGGGCAGAGTCAACACTAGAAACCCTGCATCAACGATCACCGACTTCAGTTCACGTGGCCCTCAAACAAATGCGTGTAGGACGTAGGTGGTCCATCGCAGAGACGTTCCAGAAAGAACATCAAATAGCCGCCAAGTTTATGAAGTACCCTGACTTCAACGAAGGCGTCACAGCATTACTAATTTCAGAGGAGCGGCCTCGGCCTACTCCGAAGTGGCAACCGGCTACATTAGAGGACATCCAGCCTGAGAGCAACATCACCGATCCGTTCTTCTCCCTGTCCCGTGACCTACCAGCGTTGGATTTACTGGTCGATAGGGACTATAACGAATATCCATACCAGTCCTTCGGCGTACCTACAGAGCTAGATGTCGAAACGGTCGTTACGCAGAACGGGTTGTCTCGTTACGCCGTCCGCGAAGAGCTTGTTCGAAAGAAGAAGGGTAGGCAAGGCATCGGCGCTATTGTGGATGAGATCTTGGCTAGGAAAACCATCGTAAATGACGATGGCAAGGCTGAATGGGTTGACGAGTGATAGATCGTGCTTATGGCGCATTGTGTCTTCGTGTATATTATCATCGGTCGCCACCGGCTACAAGTCAATAGCAGGATCGTGGGGCTGAAAATGTACAAAAAATCCAATGAACACAAGTGGGAATAGGAGCGATATAGGTACCTACCTACCTAGTACCTATCTAACAATCAATTATTGAAATGAATGTTGAATTCTGTAGATGACCCCTAAATATATAGGTACTTAGGTACTTACTATTCAATATTGTTGGAAGCTGGGATATATATCCATCTCCTGTCTATGAAATATCGTCTGAGTCATAATTAAATTGCTAAAAAGTGGGGGTATACCGGAATATGGGTGGGTTATAAATATCATCACAATTTTCCCCTCTTTAAAGACCATAAGGGAATTTGATATCATTTTTTTTTCTATTTTGTTTGAAGAGGAATACCGGACACTGCCGGAAGTGTGTCTGCCTCCAAGTTCTAACGTTGGATCTGATAGGCACTAATAGTGTGCCTTTTGAACTCGGCAAAAGTGGGTCGTGCTCTCGACCCCACATTCAACGGCGGTCAGCTACAGGTGGTCATAGCGCTTAGAGTCCAGGTCCCAGCAGTGTCCACTAGGTACCTAGGTATCTATCCAATCCAGCCACCAGGATGTGACGTCTAATCTGCAGATAGTACGCTGTACGGCACGTTTTCTAAAACGCGCCTGGTAAAAAAGCTATTAGCGCGACTTTCCAACCACTGCTTAACGCGTTGGCGTTGCTAGGTACTTCGTCTCCCTTAATAACTTGTTCCACCTACGTTGTACTTTTGTACTTCGTACTTCTAACCACCAATTCTCAACATCCTCACTTCCACAATTACTTCTATTTCTTGTAATATTCCCAACATTCGTTCTTCAATTCACGAAATCGTGCAATCCGTCCTAGTCAATTGGGATTGAAGGCGCTTAATCACCCAATACCTAAGGGATATTCTTAACCACGGGAATTATTTCTTACATCCAATTTCTCCTCGTACAAACGACCTCCAACACGACATTCGCGTCCCTACGGCGAATTATAAACACCACCTCTCTACCCACTGATCTTCGATCCTACGAATTGAACAGAGCGACATTTCTGTGACCGTGAGAAGTATTTTCAACCGCATACTAAATCTTCAATCGACACCGTCGCGTTTGCAATTGCCCAGTTTTGTTCGCATTAAAAGTTCCTCCCGACAATCAAGGCGAAAGCCTTCGAGCTCTCGACAATGCTGTCAATATCGCACCATCCTGATGGAGGTGACATGGCATCGCAAACCGCAGACGACGCAGGGCTACAAGTGAAGCTTATGGGGCGTAAGTATCGGCGATCCCTCACAAATCGTTCAAATAGCTCACCGTCATTTTCTAGTCAAAGTCCAATATACTTTTGATGCGGATCGACAGGAGCGCTGTCTTGCCCGATGGCCGAATCTTCTTCATGTTCAGACATATCCTATCGACGAACAAAATAGGATTGGAATTATTGATCTGAAGATCTGTCTACAGACGATTGCACAATGCAGTCCCGAGTTGATTAGCGATACCGAGAATGACTACACGGTTTACGCTTACGATTATTCTGAACCCGATGTTCCCTTGGTTGGACAAGGCATGCTCAGCTGGGGGTTAAACCAAGAACCGAGTTCGAGTGACAACCCCAGTCTTGTTACTGGCCGAATTACCAAAAACCCACTGGCCGTTGTATCAAATGGCATTAGAGAGACTCTTGAGGTCAAATTCAAGTTGACCCTTGTCACCAGAACAACACGAAGCCATCCTATTCTCCCTCACCAAATCTATTCCCAAACTGCTTCGATTTCTCGAGCTTCTCCATCCGCCCCCCCAGAGAATTCAGATTGGCAATCCTTCACCCGATCCAACTTGAACACTGCACAGACTTTAGGAGCGCCTATTGGAATTGGCACCATGGCTACTTCACAAAATCAACAAGGCCAGCCAAACTACGAGGCTAGGCCGAGCAGCCAAGGTCCACTGCCAACCTCAGAGCGCCGCACTACTTCCGTTGAACCTACTCTAAGAGATTCCGTTAGGTCTTTTGCAATGGGAATTCCTGACTCACAAGTGATAGCACCAGCCCCAGCCAAGGGAGGAAAAATTGCATCGCGTCCCGCTTCTAGAGCATCGAGCAAGCCTCCCTCGGGAAGACCTAGGGGACGCCCGCGCAAGAAGCCCCTTCAAGTTGAAGGTAGTACTTCTGGTATTGAGGACGTTACTGATGCCGATGATGGACCCCCACGAAGCAAGAAGAGAGCTATGACGACTAAAGTCGAACGTAACAACGCCGCTACATTTAGCGCTATGCCGGAATCACTTCGAGTCGTTGCTAGCACTGCAGGATCTATTCGAAATATCCGACCCGTCGCCATCGCAGGTGATGCACGTGCGGGTAATCATCAAGAAGTCCCACGAGCACCGACACCGGTCCCGATACCTCGTCTCCCAGGCTTCCCACAAGCACGAACTACAGCATCGAGCGGCTTAAGTCGCGAATCAATGCCACGCATGGAAGTCGATGAGTTTACGTCGACCTACGGCCAAGGCGCTCGCTCTCCTGCCGAATCTGCTGGGATTTCGCCAAGTCAGATATATTCCGATGAAGCTAGTCCTGCTGACATTGGGTCGTCTCCTCCGGGCCCGCGCTCTACATTGTTTAGTGCCCGATCTAGCCCGACGCCCTCGAGCCCAATCTTGCCCCCGATGCCATCGGCAAGGGTACAGCCCGATTCGGGCTTCATGAGTGGAGGACTTGACAGTCGAGTAGATGACGATGCGATCAACCAGGCAGCCATTAGTGCCCCGCAGAAGGCTGTTATGGCAGCGAAGGCGAAGCCTCGTCGGAGCCGTGCAAAGAAGGCGCCAGCTACTGGTCAGAGTGATCTCATAATTCACACTGAGGTTCCTGGACCACCCGAACTACTACCTCAGACATCGATCTATAACCCACCCTATCTGATTCGAAAGAATAGCGAGGCCGCTAAAACCCCGGTGGTTAACAGACCTCCTAGTTTGCCGCCTTTCCCCGAGCCATCAGAGAGAATGGAGTTAGAGGCTGCTGAGAAACAACCTATGGAAAAGGCAACGCCCACCGAGGTCGAGACTACACAGGGCGGTGCGATGAATCTCGGTACGGCAACGCCTATGGATTTGGTAGAAGACCAGAATCAGCTGGATTTAGATTCGTTCGACTATGACAGTCGACGCTTTGCGGCCTCTGTCGCTCCGTCGCTTGACAGCAGTGCACAGCCAACAGTGGAACAGGCCACAGCTGGTCTCACTGACCCTCCAAAACTTGCCGACCCGGTCCGCGAACCGCTTGCCGAACTAGAGCTCCCGATGGTGCCTGCGAGCGATCATAACCCACCCCATTCGATGTTAACAATGCCTTTGTCGGAGTCATCTTACTCCCAATCGGATGCTAATGGCTCTACCGATGGGAAGTCAAACAAGAACGTGGTGAAGAGACTGACCATCAAGCAGAAGCTGGAGGAGGCCGTCTTGTTAGGACAGCTCCCCTCCTATTGCAACAATTGTGGGGCTATTCAGACGCCCACATGGCGAAAAATCTGGAAGCAAGTACGAACTGGAGTCCCAGCATACCACGAATATTCAGAGAAGCCTGGCTTTGTCACCGCTATCACTATCCTCGCCCGAGATGCTTCCGACCATCCGACGGCGTACGAGATCATCAAGAAATCCTTGGGTCCAACTGATAAGAAGAGTGCTTGGACAGAGGTGCTTCTTTGCAATCGTAAGTCCTATAGTATTAGTTGATGGGGAAGTCAGACGGCTAACAATTTATAGCGTGCGGGATTTGGTTCAGCAAATTCAAACAACACAGGCCAGCGGACAAGTGGGAGAAGGACGAGTCACGACTGGCTCAGACACGAAAGAAGAGACCCAATAACAGTGGGCAACCTCGATCGAAGAAGGCTCGGACTAAGAGTGATACGCAGACGACTTTGACTTCTGAGGCTTTCCTCCCAACAGATCCTCTTGGCCCACCGGATGGCCCTACACCTCTAGAGGACATGGCTACGATACCGGTTAGTCAGTCACAGCACCAGGGAGAGATGGTTGAGGAAGTGAATCGGCAGGGTTCAACACATTCTAGAGCATCTACTCACTCCCGAGGAAGTGGGACCTTTGATAGCCCAATTGCCGTTGACGATGAGCTCGGACCAACCCGCCGAGTACTCTTCCCATCGCCACGAAAGGAAGGCGAGCAGAGGGTTCTAGGTGAAGTTTCCGTCAATATCGTGCAGACTTCTCCGGAATTTCTCAATGCTAAGGGTGATGGTGAAATGGAGAAGGAGAATAACGACTTGTCACTGGATGGAGTAGTCTTCACTGACAAAGATTTTGCTGATATATTTGGCACTCCTCCTCGCCCCTCCACACCCCCTCCCAATGCCAACAACAGTGGTCCCTTCAAGACCCCGACTCGCGCTACGCCAGGTCATCGACCGGTCACTAGGAGTGTCACCAGGTCCATGCGTTCTGTCAGGTCTATCAGTTCACCTAGTCGGATCCTGATGATGGATCATACCCCTACCAGGACTCCCCACACTGGTGTGGCTAAGCGCCACTCGCCGAATGGCTTGATGCCGTCGCATCTATTGGACGAGGAAGGGTTCAATACACCTTTTGCAAGACCTTTTGGTCATTTCCTGTCAGGTTTCAATCAGGATGCAGAACAGGAGTCAGAGCAGCCAGAAGAACAAGAACCTTTGCCTGGCATCCCGATCAACCTGGATGAGTACTTCGGCAGGTCAGAGCCCGTAGACTTCGGTCGCGCATTCGGCATGCCTGCTGTGTCTCCTGAACCTAAGAAGATCCGCGAGCGCAGCCCGGGGCATGACCGTCGGGTCGCAACCTACTTCGCTATGATGGAGGCGGGCACTGTTCACATCCCTGACGTAGTGAAGGGCAGACCTGTCGATTAAGTCCTTCGCACGCACATTCGCAGTTTTGTGTTAGTACACTTTGGTAACACAACGACATTGGCGTCTTTGGGGGTTGCATCACACATTTGTTTATTGCGTCTTTCCTATTATAATGCCTCTCTGAGGCTGGGCTCTCAGGAGCATACGAGATACCCCGCGGCAAGGATAATGTTACTTTTGATGTTACTTTTGCAGGCGTTTTTGAGAGGGGAGGAAAAGTCACGCATGGGCAAGTTCGAGCATGGCAAGGTGTGGGTGCAGCATGGGTTACGGTGTCCCGGAACGAGAGTCATATCCATGTCGGCGGAGGGCGAAGATGCTTTATAGAGGCGGAGCCTGTCGATGATATGATTGTTTGTATGATGGATGGGCATGGCAGGAGGAGTCAGTGTGCATGAGTTGAATTGTTCAAGGTTACAACGATTGCCCCGGCGTGGATGTTGCGTTTGTAGTCTCCTAGACCTCTTAGGTAGCTCCGCATTAAGACCCACCCGGTTACACTGAACTATTGACTAAACTGATGATTGATTTGCTGTGATTTGGACTTGTTCGTGATGGTTGGTATAAATGGCTGGCCTCTTGATACAAGACGACTCGAGGCATAGGGGTATTGTAGAAAGACTGAGTCGACCATTACAGGATCAAGGCGTGCTTAATTACACTCGTCACTATTATTTAAAAATCGACACAGAAGCATAGGTAAGCATATTTAGAAATAACTATCATAATTCCCTAAGTCTCCTTATCCTCATAAACCTCCACTTCAACCGCAGCCCGTCTCGATATCCGCCACCGGCCCTCCTCGTCCAAGGTAAACGTGATGACGCGGGAGCTCTCGTCGCCGAAGTCCTCGATGACCATGTCTAGTAGCTCGTCCGCGTGCTTCTCGGTCTCCCGACGTCGACGGATTTCGGCGGCGCTTACTAGGTTTCCGGACTTGGAGCGGTAGAGACGGCCGGGTGGACGGGGCGCGGTCCAGGGTAAGGAGAAGGGAAGAGTGAAGGGGAGGGAGGGGATGTAGGATGGTTCGGGTTCGCGGGGTGGGGTTATGGGATGCTGGATGCTGCTGCTAGGTTTATTGTGGGGTGTTGGTGAGGCTTGCTGTTCAGGGGGTTGGGGTTGAGGGGGCGGACTGCTTTTCCGCCGGCGTCGTTGGTGGCTGGTTGCCTCTTCTTCCGTGACTTCTGTGACTTCTGTGATTTCTGTGTGTTGGGCGTCTTGGGTGCTGTATTGGGTTGGTTGGGTACTGTAAATATTAGATCGCTGGGTAGTGAATTGAGAGGACCGCGGTCTCTCTTGGATGGATAGTTGCGAGAATTGGTTTGTGGGCGGAGTGATCACTCGAGACGACCAGGAACTCGCGGTAGAAGCAGTGGAAACAGGAGAAACAGCAAAATCAGGATTATTAGCTGGTTCAGCAATAGGTGGTATTTTTTGTTTTTGTTCAGATCGAGTTTCTGCTATAGATTGAAGCCGAGGTTGTGATTGCTGAGATGAATATTGCTGTCGTTTGTGCTGCTGTGAGCCAGCCGGCCATCCCAGAGACACGCGTCCATGTGCAAACCGTCAGTTCATCCCACCCTGGTCTGAGTATACGAATATCTCCTTGAACTGATGTGTACACTCAACGACGTTTTGGCATAATTGGAGGTCTGTTAGGCAGGTTAGACATGGATTGTCGAATGGGAGATGAAAAATTGTTGGCTCGTGTAAAAGAGACACAACCGATACTCGATGACGAGGTGAAAACCAGGACACTTACCAACATTGTTGCCAAGGTCTATGGCATTCAATACCTTGATGGTTAGGTCTGGGTTCACCTTTCCAATAATCTGAGCTCCATTTCCAACCATGAGGTGACAATCCTTCTCAGTGATATAATAGTTAGCTCATATTTTACAGGTCAGGAACCAGGAATTCATGTATTCTAGACCATTGGCCAAGACAATGATCCACTCACTCTATTGAGGTTGGCTTGAACTTGACCATCAGCCTCAAGGAAGGCCGTGTCGCCGCGGAGTTGGACTACCTTGCCCACGATGATGACGTTCTGGCCAATGTAGGAATCCATTAGGGTCGCAGAAATGCGGGGTGTTGAAGTAGACTCCATTTTTACGCCCGAAATTAAGACCGCTATAAGTTTAGGCGCGATCTTGAGGCTCAAATTTCATTGAAGGTTAAAGGTCTTTTTTCACGTTTCCGGTATCGTCGGGATACTAGAGTTGGGAATAAAGTTTGTCTGAAGACCGTTGAACTATGTCAGTGAGAAGAGATAGTGGGAGGCGCGACGCGTTAAAACGGGGCTATTTCTTGGTGGGGCTTTCCAGCTGAATGTCAAGGTTTAATTGACCTAAAAGCGGTTAAGGAAGCAAGGAGCCGCAACAGCAATATGAGCAGTCACCTATCCCAAACGACTCCTCAAAATACAGATCGGTCCTATCGGCCTTTACGTTAAGAAACGGTTAGTAGGCATGCACTCGGTTATGGTTGTCTCCGTCGTAACACGGTTACACAGCAGTAGTCTAGTTTGGAAACCCGGTTGGGCTGAGCTGCTGGGTGCTTTCTTAGCCAATAAGATATCTCGGGAAGCGTTTATCTTTGTCCGGAGATATGGCGGACCAGAAATTATTCGCTCAAGTTATTCGCATTTGTGCCCTTCCATGTTGAAGTATCGAGGCTTATAACCTGTGATACTTAGAAGAGTGCCAACCTGCAGGAGCCGAGAGTGCGGGTAGAAATAACCACAGTTTCACGGAGCATCCCGCTATTACATAATACCATCTATTTAACCAAAAAGATACCGACTACGGACCCAATATTCCAACGCCACCACAAAATTCCATCATGTTTCACAACGTTCGCTCCTCTGAGGAAGAGGTATCCTGAAGGGACGTCGATTTCTTGAGTATTTTCACGCTCCAAAGGGTAGCGGCGAATAAGGGGCTTGAAAAGGAGGTCACTACGATATCAAATCATTTTCCTAGTGTCTTTTGTGACGTTAGGATATTCCTCGTGCGGTAGTTCCGCATAATGTAGCATATTGATTCCATCAGTGGCCAAGAAGTCGTTAGTCAACGATATGAATACCACCGGTAGGTAGCAATTAAGACTTTGCCAATCCCCATTCGTCACAAGCTGCCTATTAGTATCTTCGACGCCTTCGCACAAAGCCAGAACCATAGCGTTTGGATACGAATAAACTCAACGCCTTACTGCGAATGTACTAGGATGAAAGAAAAAAACCATTATGCTCTTACTAGGCAAGTAGAATGCAGATTCTGGAAAATTGTGAGAGATCAGCGTTGGGGTATTGGCCAGACCTTCTAGCCAGCAAACCTAGATTTCCTCACTTGAATGCCCCCTTGCTCGAGCGGACGAACCCGGATCAGTACATCCGGCTCTGCGTATCCGGCCATTTGGTGAATGTGGTAGCCATATGTTCGTGTTTAGTGTTCGGCACATTGATCCGGTATGGGTTCCCGTTCGCCGGTAATTTATAGGTATCTCGTAGTCTCAATTTCATGCTCATGGTATACAATGACCGATGGGGATATTTCCAGTTCCTTTAGTATCTACATAGTACCTAGGTATCTTGGTAGTAAGCAGGAGTTTTTTATCCTTGTTCAATTACTTAAGAAGGGCTTTCTTCCACAAGAGAAATTAACATCCTTATGGACCCCCGGGAATAGCAAATACGATAAATTCCACATATATCAACAAGTCGTACTTCCCAATATTCCAGTATCCGATTATTTAGACTTCTGTCAATGTCGGGAGAAAGCCTAATCCAAGAGATGTCTAGAAGCACATCGTTCATGCCTGTTTGTCTGGTTTTTGACTTTCAACTACTTCTTCAATCGGATATGCACCTCCTAAGTATCGCTCAGCTATTTCTAGTAAGCCCAACAACGAGGATAAAAACGGTAGGATATAACTGATTAGATCGAGGATCTGATCTCAAGTTTAATCCGGAAATTTCGAGTTTTCGTAAGCAACTACTTTTATCAGAAAGCTCATATTGCAAATAGGTAGATTTGCCTCGGGCTAGACTACCAGAAAATAGAAAGGCAAGAAAAATATCCAAGGTAGATAGAGAAAGAAAGTTTCACCTAACAAGCAGATGAAAATTCGACTGGCAGTGTTACCCATGCTCGTGTTGCTACGAAGGGGAAAGGGTTGAGTTTAAAGAGTTGGGCGAATTTCGTTAGCTAATATACCACCCCCCCTACCTACCGAGGCAGCAACTTCCAAGACCCACGACTCAACTTGAGGAAGGCATTGGCAAATGCGTATGCACCTTCCCGGACCACTAGTGCCTCCTTCCCGAGCTTGCCTAAATTTAGTCTTTCTCTTTGCAGCAAACTTACTTTGGATTGATAATTCACGAGGTTCTACCTATCGTGATACGTATATTTGGAGATTAAAGTTGCTTGTGATGCTTTGAATGGGGCGATGAAACTGCGCGCTTAAGCTGTTCTCGACTCGCGTGAGCTAGGGATTGTACCTTTAACATTTAACCTTTACATTTCAAATAGACGGGCCGTCCTTGATAACCTCTCACCTAGTAGCTACTGGTTTCTAGAAAGGATAGAAATTCATTAAACTCCTGCTACGCTGCCGATACTTTACTTATTTCGCTCGTCTATCGAGTCCTTGATCGATATCCCCTAAGGACAAGGGCCGTGCAAAGTTCCACAGCAGGTATGGAAGAACCGGCGAACTTCTTTAGTAGAGACATCCAGGATGGCGGAAAAGATGGAAATCGACCATTTGATAGCCCGTATATGAAGGATTCAAGCAATTATTACCTAGATGCCTCACCTGGTGCCAACCTAGACCACCCCTCTATTGATCCGCTGTCAGCCCAAACTCATCAATTAAATCAGTTACCGATGGATTCGATTTACGTCCAGCCTTCGAGAAAAACGGCAAATCGTCGTGCAAAATCACAATCAACGATACCGCAATTCAACCCGGCTAGCTCCGAATCCCCCGGCTTATCTAGCGGATCGTCGGATACGCCGGAGTCTCACTCGTCGCAACACACTGTAACGCCTGAAGATCGTTCTGGTGTTCATGGTTTCCTGTCGGGAGAATCTCCTCCCAGTAAAAGGAGAAAACAGCGAGGCAAGAAGGATATGGACGAGGGCATCGAAACAGCCAAGCGAGACCGATTCTTAGAGAAGAATCGGGTGGCGGCAACTAAGTGTCGTCAAAAGAAAAAGGAGTGGGTGTCGGACCTAGAAGAGACAAGGTTTGGTTTAGAAAGCCAAAACAACCACCTTCAGATGGAATACAGCAGCCTGAGAAACGAGATAACCCAAATAAAATCGCAACTCATGGAGCATGCTAGCTGCAACGACCCTAACATCGACAAGTGGATTGAGAATGAGGCAAAGAGATTTGTAGTGGGAGCAGGCGAACGGTACGACCAGATGTTGGCTAACTTGGGCCATGCCCCTGGATTGGTAAATCGCCACGAAAGCTTCTCTTCAGCTTCAGGATACCCAACAGTCCCGGATTCGGAACTTATCAGCCCAGTGACTTCATCACACAGAGGAAGTATGTCATTCCCTCCTGGGACCATGATGCCGAACTCACCTGTCTTATGTCGTCCGGACTTAACACCAAGCATGCCAGAAGCTATGGCTCCTGTCCCAGCTGAAGAGCCATTTTCAACAGGTCATATGCATAATCCAATGCCAGAAGATATTGCCGGGTTTGATGGCATATCAATGGGAAACGATGCGTTCCAGAGCTCGGCGATGCCCGAATGTTGACAACGATGCAAGGTTTTAGGGGGGTAAGCTCGCGCTATGGTACAACATACGCTGTGCTTGTGTACCGGAATGTCTAGTGAAGCTCTAATGTCTGTCACTTATTTTTATCGACTTCCGGAACTAGACTCGATTGGTACGTGCACCAATGCGTGTCAATAGGCAACATCGAATCTCGCAAGATCTAGTACAAGGAGTTATATGCCTTCGGCGTGAATGATTTTCTGGGCCACCGTTAAGTGAGTGTTTCGTATGCTAGGGGTTATTTACGGAATAGGGTGCTTATATGCGAATTTTCGTGGGAGAAACTCGAATCGTAATGAAGGGGATCTTTTTAAGACCTAGTCTCTTGGTGCTCCAGAGAACAAGAGGCAAAAGGTCTTAGGGAGAAGAGGTAGGGGTGGGCTCGTCTAGTAATGTATCACGTCGACATTAATCGAGTCGGATGGGGGAAATAATGATGGAATGAGACCACGATCGATTCGAAACGCCTTCATCGTCACGGGTGCCGGACAGGGCAGGCTGTTCGCATCTTAGCACTAATACATATTAGCTTTGCTACGAAGCGACGATGGGCTAGGTAGCTCCAACATGGGAGACATAAGATGGAAGCCGGGCAAAACACTTTGATTTCGGCTTTGAATGAAATTTGTTGAAGAATTTTGATATTGCCTAATGTGACTTGATGCCTACTAGTCTCTAAGTTCTTAACGAAGAGGGTCAAGCGCCCCAAAACTGGTTGTGGAAGAATTATACCTCGAGATTTAGCATGGGAAAATACTTCCTGTTCTTCCTGTGGCCTTCTGATTACGGTGTATTGTTGGGGTAATCCGAAAGATCGTCGCTGTTGCGGCCGAGTTGTTCCATCCCGACCCGAAGTGGCTTCAGTACCCCTCTGCCCCTTTACTGAAGTTAGCGCCGGATGCTAATACATAGCTGACTGTTTTGTCCCTGCTTTGCAATTCACGCGGTAATAAAATGAAGTTAAGGAAATTTCCATCTAGAGACAATCAAATTGTATGATTCATGTTGTTTCTTTTGCTACTAGAGTAGGTTAGATAGTTACAGAGGCTCAGCAGAGTACTCATACAATATACAACCAAACACACAGACGTAATATTGGTCTTCAGTGCCTGAGAATAGATATCATCGTCTATTCCACCAACACCATCCCACTCTCCGGCGTCCTCTGCATCCTCACATTCTCCACGAAAACCTTGGTGACGAGATCGCTCTGGTGCTCTATAATCATCTCCTTCAGCGCCTCCCTCTCCACAACCAGCCGTCCCGTCTCCAGCAAATCCTTCACATCCACATCCGCAACATCCAACGCGCGCCCCCAATTCGGCACCCCGGCCAGCGTCGCAGACAGGTTCTCCCGCTGCGTGGTCGTGATGAATGTGCTGCGCCCGTTGGCCCGCCCCCAGTCGTTCGCATCGAGCACCTGCCGCGCCCACTTCGACCGGAAGTCCCGCCGCAGCTCCTCGTTCAGCACCCGCGCCTCCACCATCTCGTAGTACTCCTCCGGCATCGGCATCTCCATCCCGTCCTCGCACACCACGAGCTCCCCCCGGCGGTACCGGTAGCTCAGCGCCGTCCGCCACGCCAGGTCATACACCTTCCGCGTGATCTTCGTCCCGAAGTCCCGCGGGTGCGGCCCGAATGATTTTCCTCCGCCTTTCATCAGCGGCGATTGGCGCGAGCCCTGACGAGCTCCTCCTGTGCCCTTTTGCGGCCGCACTTTTCGGTGCGAACCCGCGACGTCCCATCGTGTCTTGGACGAGGCGGTGCCTTGACGCGTGTTGTCGCCTTCGTAGATTACGGCCAGATGCAGGATGTCCCGTCGTAGAGGCACGAAGAGGTGTTTTGCGGACCAGGACTCCAGGCGCGCGGGCTCGAAGGAGGGGAAGTTGAAGATGGTGAGGGGGACGGTGGTTACTGTTTGGTGGGTTAGTGGCGGGGTGGTTTTAAGACTGGGGTTGTGGGCGTGGGTATGAGAAGGGGGTTATCTACTTGGTTTATAACCGCCGTCTGTGCTTGCTGAGGTGGTGATCTTAGGGAGGGGGGCCTCTGTTGCCATTGATCTTGTGAATGTTGATGATGGTATTCGGTGCTGTTATTCGTTAGATTATAGTCCTGGATACTCGTTCCGTGGGTGACGTACTGGGACTGCTTCTCGGCATGTCTGTGAGGATAGGGTTAGGCTTCTTAAAGCCTCATTGAGGCCTCTTACGCCTTTGCTCGCCATAGTTGCGACGCAATAGGGCCGTACTTGACCGATTTCGAATTGGAGGTTACTTGTCGGCGCTGGTATTGAATGAAGTCAATTGAACTCCAGAAAAATTATCGAAGATGCGGTTAAAGATACGTAGGTACATCATATCGATAGGTAGGGCAGGATTCATTGGCCAATCAGACTCGGTTATTTCCACATTTCTGGTGGGTCACAAATGGAGCTTCAAAAAAGTTCCGGATTTTCGTTTCTCTAATTCAATAATCAACCAATATATCGCTTCGATACACCCCCCGCCATGTCGAGCTGTCAGAGGGTCGCGAGGCCCCTTGTGCAGTCCCTCCGACAAGAGCGCATCTTTCTTCAGACCACATCACAGTTCTCGCGATCATTCTCGAGAAGTGCGCCGCGGCAAGATGAAGGTGCCCCTCCACCACCCCCGCCAACCTCGTCGACGACCTCAATGGACCAACTCGAGGCGACTGTGAAGGCCAACGCAAAGGCCGAGGAAGAAGTTACGAAGATCCGCATGCAGGACCGATTAATGGATCGAGATACCACAACGGCGCATTGGGCTGAACGGAAGTTGGTTCGAATGGGTACGCCACCTATCGGATCGAGACGTCGACGAGCTGCTATACGTACTTCAGAGAACGTACCATTCGATCAACTACCTTATCAGTGTTTCCAAGAGGCCCGTAAAGTTTTACAAGAGGATCGCCTAGAGAAGATTAAGGCCGTCGTGGCAGAGGCAGCCAAGATCAAGAGGGTGGAGGAGACGCCGGCCGCCGAAGGCCCCAACGGCGAGTACAAGAAGCATGTGCGGCTCACAAGCTTAAGGAAACACTTAGATAATCTTAAGGTCTTGGCCGACATTAACGATCCTATTGTGAAGCGGAAATTTGAAGATGGTCTTGGTACGTGTAATTTCTTCTCACGTTTTAGGGGTCATATTATTACTTTTTCCCCGGCTATTTTCTACTTTATTTTTTACTTCTATTCCAATGGAGTCCAAGGTGGCTGTGCGTTGAGTCCAAAGTGGACTCGTACACAGAGGGTTTATAACCAGCAATAATTAGCCTTTCTTTCACATACGACCATAGGATTTGGAACACTCGGGATCCCGTCCGCTCTCCCATAGATAAGCCAAATACCGCCAGATTAGTAGTTGGGTCGGTGACGACCAGCGAATCCCTGGTGTTGTATGTTTCGTTTTTTTGCCCTTTTTATTTATTGCCCTTACCCAAGTCCATATTCTCCTCTCGGTGTATCCAGCAGAGTGCTAACGATTATTCTCACAGCCGATTTTGACAAGCCGATCTATCGATACTATGCTGAGCGCAAATGGCGTGGCCTGCCATATCGAATTATCACACAACGTATCGAGCAGCTTAAGATCGTTCCTGATGTACTGCCTAAATTTGAACCTACTGCCGACGTCCAACTCTTTTTTCGGCGAATTAAGGTCACCCCTGGTGAAATCTTGGATTCCCGAATTACGGAAGTGCCGCCACGCTTAAAGGTCCAAGTTTTCAACCGCGGCGAGCGTCTGGTCTCAGTAGTAGTTATGGACTCTGATGTACCCAACGTCGAGACAGATTCATTTGAGAGGCGATGTCACTACCTTTCGGCCAATATTCTCATATCTCCTAATCAACAATCTTTACCCCTAGGTCAGGCAAACAAGGAGACTCAATTGGCTGTGCCCTGGCTCCCAGCCTTTTCTCAGAAGGGCGCTCCATACCACCGACTGTCCGTCTTTGTCCTAGAGCAGAAGCCCGGTGAGACCTTAGATATCAATAAACTACGCGAGCTTTACTCGAGCCGAGACGGATTCAGTCTTAAGAGCTACCGGGACAAGTTCCGTCTGACCCCTATCGGCTTTAACATCTTCCGAACTGTCTGGGATGAGGGTACAGCCGGCGTTATGGAAAGAGCAGGCGCACCGGGCGCCGACCTCGAGTTCAAGAACAAGAGAGTCTACTCGCTGAAGCCGGACAAGAAGCCCAGAGGTTGGGAAGCGAAGAGGCAGAAGCCCAAGTACAAGAGTTTATGGAAATACAGCAAGAACATCCACGGTATCTCAAACAGGCGTCGATAGATGTATTATCCGAGATAGTGTATCATATATACATGTACAAAACAAGAAAACTTGTAGATGGAATCGGGATATGTTGAATGATTGGTCGTGATGGGTTTTAGCATGCTTTCACGCAGGTAAGCATTCGAACCCCCTACCATATCCCAATCCAGTTCCTACAAGCGGTTGTGGAATAAGTAGTAAGATGCAGCGGCAGTCATGATTTGACCAAATAGCATCGACATTATTCGTTATAAAGCCCCTCTACTGTGATGCAATGCATATCAGACAGCGTACCGAACCTAAGAGGGGTCTAGTATGTGAGCACACGTACATCAGTTACGTGCGGATAGCAAATATGGCGTGATCGCCGGATTGCGGCATGTCCAGGTTGTAAGCCGTGGGCTTCTCTAACATGTCCCTTGCTTATCGGAAGTCTAGGTATATATCACTCCCAATGGTGGAGCTGCCGATGTTTCGTTCCGACCTTGAAATGCGGCGGATAGCGAGTCCACCTGAGCCCACCTGAGTCCAATAGAGTATAAAGCGAGGAGTAGGTAGCAATAACTATCCCTCCACAGTGTCTGTAATCCCTACTGCACCACCCAGCATAGCTATCTACCTACTTGGCGTGATCGAGGCACGTGTCACGCAATACGGCATCCATATCGGTGAGCGAGCTCCGAACTCTCCACAAGAGAAGCTCATATAAAAACCAATGCTTCCAATATCCAGCACCGTATCATTTAGAGGAATTCACCAAACCACGTAAGAGAGTCTATGGACAGGGACTATTAGGAGGTATCCAGTCACTTCTTAACATAAACCTCGTAATACCCAGCCCCAATGGCAGTCAAAGCACGGCGCGTAGCCGTAATCGGTGCCGGGCCGGCAGGCGCCATCGCCACCGACGCGCTCGCCAAGGAGCAAGCGTTCGACACGATCCGGGTGTTCGACCGGCGGGCCGGAATCGGCGGCACCTGGATCTACACCCCTCACCTGCCGACCGCGATCCCGTCTCTCCCCGACTTAGTCTCCGGCAAGGCGGACGTCGCGGTCGAGGTGCCGCCGATCCTCCCCGCCACCACGCCTGTCTCCGAGGAGGTCAATGGGTACCAGCGCCGGTTTGCGGACACCGCGCTGCATGAGAATCTGCATAGTAATATCACCCCGGATATCATGAGTTACACCCAGGAGCCGTTCCCGAATAAGCTGTCCCAACGCACGCTGGCGGACTACGGACCCGGCGCGCCGTTTCGGCATCATACGGTTATCCGCGAGTGGGTCGAGGGGATATTCTCGCGTGGTGGACATGAGAAGTTGCTTGAGTTGAACACGACGGTAGAGCGGGCGGAGAAGGTTAATGGTGAGTGGGTGCTTACGCTGAGGAAGGAGACGCTGGGGAGGAATTACTGGTGGAGGGAGACGTTTGATGCGCTGGTTGTGGCGACGGGGCATTATAACGTGCCTTGGTTCCCGAATGTACCGGGGCTGCTGGAGTATGATAGGAGGTTTCCTGGGAGGATACTGCATAGCAAGCATTTCCGCAATTCGTCGAAGTTTAAGGGGAAGGTGGGTGAATACCATAATCCTTTCTCTAGAATGATCTTGCTTTTTGCTGATACTTGTCATAGCGCGTGGTCGTGGTCGGAGGCTCTATATCCTCCCATGAGGTTGTTCACGAAATCCTAGATGTGGCCAAGACTCCAGTCTATGCTTCTGTGAGGGGAGAGCCTATTCCGGCGTTCGGGTGGGAGCCGTTCCTGCATCCGGATATAGTCATCAAGAAGGAAATCAAGCGCCTGGACCCAGAGACCGGGCGTGTCGATTTCGTTGACGGCTCGACCCTCGATGATGTGGATTACATAGTCTTCGGGACAGGTTACACGTTTAGTGTCCCATATATCCCCCACGTCCAAGAGCGAATTCTTAATGCCTACCGCCGTCTACCGGGAGTGTATCAACACACGTGGGATATCGAGGATCCAACGTTGACCTTTGTCGGGATGGTAAATATCCACCCATTCCTCTCTTATCAATTAATTGTCTTTCCATGCTAATAACCCTATAGCTTGGCGGTGGCTTCACCTTCCGTGTCTATGAATGGCAAGCCGTAGCAGTCGCGCGCCACCTCGCTGGACGTGCGAACCCGTTACCCCCTATCGCAGAGCAGCTCGAGTGGGAGAGGAAGCGCGTAGCCGAGCGAGGTGGAGGGAAGGACTACTACTCCATTGCCCCTGACTACGGCACATATTTCGAGTTTCTGCGGGGCATTGCTGGTGAACCGGCACCGGGGACCACGGGACGCGTGCTACCCGTTTTCGACGAAAAGCAGTTGGAAGTCTGGACGGGAATGGTGGCCTATAAGATAGACGGTTTCAAGCGTAAGAGGAGGAGAGCGGAGGAAGCGAGGGGTCAGGTCAAGGCGAAGTTGTGATTTCAGAGATTAGAGGTGAGATCAAGCGATTGTTAGCTAGAGAAGCTTTGGATGGCAATTGGTTGAACTTCGAAGCAATCATCCTATCCCTTTATTTTCCAAAGTTAGTATTGCTTTGCAGCTTTTCATAATTGATAAGGTACGGGTATATCGTTAATATGATTTCGCTAAGAACGCTGTATAAAAACCTAACCTAGTTCTAAGACCCACGCTGTTAGTTCCTAATATCAGTCGTTACTAGTTCGCAATATAACATCTTTGAAGTAAGTCCATGCGAGCCAGCTGTTGGATTGGTCGCCGACTTCCTGTGTGGCCCTAGTACCGGGCTGATCCCTCCAGTTCCTTCGCCCTCTCCCCAGAAACGCGAAGGCTAGTAGCGCTGCTATGATCACGGCTGCTACGAGTAATCGTGGTTTCCTGCCCCTCCCACGCAAGTGATCTGTTATCCTTTGGGTGACATTCCCCAACGTATAGCACGTACCCTCACATTTTAGTTCCCACCCTAGTTGATAGAGACCTAACCCAGTAAGTGCCAGACTGTACCCGACTAGCTGGGTGGGGGTTATTGGTGTGTTCCAAATCGCCACGGCGCATGTTACGAGAAGGATGTTCTTGAGAACGCTTAAAAGCACATATATCAGAGCAGACATCTTTCCAATCTGTAGCCAGTTAATCCTCCCCTTGAAATACAGTATAGCAAGGAATAAATATTGGTGAACCTACTAAGAGAATGCTGAAGATGTTCAATAAAAGCGCCACGAATGCGTTCAACGTCAAAATCCAAGGCCCGACTTTTGCGATATGTATCCATCCAAATGTCCTCCATTCGGAAGTAAGCGATAGGGTAAAGTTGGTAACGGCACAGACCGGAGCGTAGTAGTAAAGAAGGACAAAAGGATCCATGTCCAGGCCCTTACTTGACATGAGAGACTGTATCATGATGACACGGACTGATTCAAACAGAATACCGGTAACCTGGCAGAGTATCCCGAGCCAAGAGAATTGGATTTCGCCGGCGCTAGCCATAACGACACCGAAGACGATGAGCAGGATATGACCGCATTTTGACCAGGTCGGGTGTTCAACACCCCATAGCCAACCAACCATGAGAGTAACTACTGGTCCCGTAGCCTAGTCGCATTGTAAGTGTCCAACATACTATAGAGGATAGGTATCTTTGATGTACGGTTGCTTAACACTGACCTTCAACATCTGTATGAACGGTACACTTAAGTGGACATAGACCAAATTGTTAAAGATCATGCTTCCACTATATAGGAGACCGATGGGAACGATTGTTTTCATGAATAGTGGGGCTGTCATCATAATCCCATGGCGGCTGTTGAGTAGAGTTGTCTTCCGGGCGAGAAACTGAGTAAAAAGAGTAGCGATGAACATGTGCCAACATGTTAATATTATGGCTACTCATCGTAGTTAGAATCAACCCAGTGTCTTAGGCCAGGAATATGACTTGCGATATTCTAAAGATAGATTAGTCAGAACTCACGGAGGCTCTCTGTAAGTATTCGGGAGATAACTCACGGAAGCCGGCATCGTCGATTAGCCACTTATTGAATAGAATGGTGACATTTGAAAATAATATCCAAAATCTATATTTTTCCATTAGTTAGATATCTTGAATACTAGATAGGTAATTATGAAACTTACACTGCGTAGTAATAGCGAGGTACGTCCATTTTTACAACAGAATTGTTGTAGACCTGCATCTACCTAGGATATAGAGTCTCGAGACGCTGCCCTTCAACCTTCAACCTAGAAGTGAATGATTATGGACCTTAAATTCTTATAAATTTGTATGATGGGAAGTCGTCATAAAGAATGTTGCCCGTGTAGAGTAGGGATACTCAGAGGTGCTATAAGCAAAAAGGCATAGCCAAGAAATAGATGAACGATGCTAGAATATGAAAAGGTTAGATCTTGTGCCACGGAGTTTCTAGATCCCATATTGCAGATATTTAGATGAAGTTTGAATAAACTATAGGAAGTAACGACGACGCGAAGTTAGGCTGAGGCGAGGGCAAGGGCGAGGGCGAGAGGTGATTTGATTTGACATAGTGGTACGTACCCACGATAGGACCTCTGGGCAGCTTTATTCGAGTTTGAACCCCTGATATCATTACTATAAAAGGTTAGCCAATAGAGCAAGTCCCCTTTCCCACATGGCTAATCCACTTAATTACCTCTAATGCATAGGCTACTTGGTACGGTACTGCACTGCTGTTACTCAATTAGGTAAAGCCCCTAGATCCAGCAACCTCTTTACGAACTCCAAATCCCCGCAGTCCTTCGGTGCTATTCTTGCCGCACTAGCCTTAAGTGTAGGACTTGAAGATCTTCAAGAGACATGCCTACCCGAAGTTGTTATATTATCATAAACCTTAAGGCTTAAATAGTCATGTAAGAGCAATTGATGGATCTAAGTAATATGTACCTTATTTAACCTAGGTTCTAGGAATCAACTTCACTACAAGTGATCTTACCATATTATACGTACTAAATTTGGCGCCCAGGTTCTCGAAGCCGATCCCTAATAGCCAATACGAATACTGAAGGCATTACCATAAGTATACCTAACGACATGTAGCTCTTGAGTGTCTTGGGGGTCTACCCACTAGCTGGAACTAGTTTCCTAAGAGCTAGATCTGTTCAAATTCGATAATGGACTTAAAAGTTGAGTCCCTGACTGCCGTCAGTGAAGACTTGAATTCCGCACTATATAGTATCAGCATCGAGCCACGATCTAGGCAGAGCAATTTGCTAGGAGCTTAGCTAAGCCTACTTCGATTAGTGGCTCCTCTGCACGTTTCCGTCTTCACCAACGGTGTCGGAATCATCAGCACTCCGTCCAATTTCTTTTGGGGGCTGAGGGCGCCGCTAACAGCACTATAGCCCCTCCGGTAGCAGAGGGTCCGACATCCGCGTGGCGCAACAATTTCCAAGCCTCCGTTTGTGATCGACGTCTTCCCGTCATGCAAGCGGCTAGATCTCCCTCTCACTTGCGCCGATAACCAGATCGGATCGAAGCGATGCGGAGCGACACCGCTCTTGCAGAAGCCTTCGCCGCCACGAATCATCACGAATATCGTACCTAAAAGGTTCATGAAAGAGTCACGAGTTTGCTTTCAAGTAGCCTAGAAGAAAAATAGTAGCGGTCTAATAGTCATAATTCCCAATCAAGATTCTCGTCCAACTCACTCGGGCTTATCAGTCCTGACTTCGCACGTCGATCAGGATAAAGAACTTGGCGTAAAATGCAGTTTTGGGGGAGGGGCTATGGTACGACGAGAGCACTAAACACCTACCCAGTACACCGCACTAGAGTTGGGCGACTCGTTGCATATGCAGCCTCCAATATTCCGGATCGATAGACAAATGAGATGCCGGCTGAGGGAGGCGTCACACCGCAACACAACACATGAAGGCAAAAAACAAGAACGGGAGGCGGCACCCTGAATTTGCACATATATAAATGGCTGGTGTATATTCTTTCATGATGCCCAAGGGTATCACTAATATTGCGAAACAAACAAAAAATTTTCTAAAATAAGATGGATATCAGACAGAAGATTATGAGTCTCGCAGCTCAGACATCGTGACAGTTTCCTCGTTCAACAATTCTCTCAATGAAAATATTTCGTCTCGTGCTGTATTCCATAAATTCAACTGAACACTTCTTCAATATGCATGGGATTATATCATGTCCCATAAGTCGGGAATCGTGGCGCCGTGGATTTGGCCACGTGCGCGATGGTCGTGACGGGTCGTAACAAGCAAAACATTGTGGTATCAAAATACAGAGGGAGACCAAACTCCCCGGCCAAGGTTCTGGTGATCACATCGGTGGCCTAAGAATCGAATGCGCAATAACGCGAGTGCCTGTTTTATAGGAATCCGCCTTCGTTGGAGCCGAATACGCCGACGCTGCCCCGCCACCGGCAGCGCTCTTCTCGTTCGGTCGGTGATAACGCTCCCCCTCTAGGGCTCAATGCGCCGACTCTTGGTGGCGTTGACTGTTGAGCACCGTCTATTTCGCTACTTCCTCGACTGCTGTTAGCGCTGGTATTTGTCTGCACGAGCAACAAACTGCTAGTACCGCTCAATCGCTTAGTGAACTCATTGAAGCTCAGTCTTTTCACATCAGATGTCGAGTGACGTTTCTCGTGGTTTCGTCGGGTCACACCTTCTTCTTGCACCCTACTAGGGATAGCTGACATCTCGAGCGCGGCTGCAGGGATCTGTGGTTGACTGCTTGTTCGTTGAGCCGCCGGTCGCAACCTTGAATGTGCGGTATGTGGTCGGAGGATGACTGGTGTCGATTCCTGAATATTCGATACCGTTCTGGTACTCGACTGCGACAATTGCGACCTCCCGCTATGACGGTTAGCAATAAAGTGGAGCGCCCTCTGCGCAGACGGTCCAATCTCATCATTGCCTAGGTCCTGTTCAAACACATCCTCGTCACTATCCTCTTCGTCCTCACCGGCACCACCCTCATCTTCACTTTCATCTTCTTCCCAAGTACTCTTAAGTGGTTCCTTTCCCACTATCGTTGGCCTTTCCTTCTCGAAGGCCCTCTGGCGTTCCTCCGCCTGGCGCATCAATGCTTCGAATCTAGCAATGGAACTGAGCTTTTCCTCCCCTGGAACCTCGCGGTCTGAGCCTGGAATACACCGCAGCTGGAAGGCCCTATCCAAGATGGTCTCTCGAGGTGCCGGAGGGGAGCCAGAGTGGAGACTGGGTAGAAACTGGCCGGGCGAAGAACCAATACTCTCTCTGGCCCTAATAGGGGAACTCAAAGTAGACGACCGTCCTTGTGCAGATGTCCATCCTTCGATGAATTGATCATGATATTCCCCAACTGTTGTGGCAGGTGACGGAAGATCGGAAGGGTGGACTGTTGTATAATGCTGCGTCGCGTATGTCGTGGCAACAGGAGCCATCGAGCTAGCGTGGGAAGACGACATGTCGCTACGGCCGGAACGTATGCTAGCCGACTCAGCGAATGTGTAAGGGACGTTAGCTTCCCGACTGGATCCATACGTGTGGTGAGACGACTTAGTAGTCATCCTTCTCCGTGTTTTCGAGGAGCTACCACTCGATGTAGCTGCATAATCCCGGGCCACGGAGGGTGCAAATGGGTTGATGAAGGTCGGCGATGTCGGGCTAATTGGACTTATGGGATGTCGACCAGGAATCTCGGGCTGAATTATCGATTGTATGTAACGGGACCAATCCTCTAGCGTATACGTACGATCATCGCCGAGGCGAAACCACAATGTCGTCGGACCTGAATCCTTAGTAGTAGTTAGACCTGCAGTTCGGCTTGAACGGCGTTTTCGCAACTTGTCAGTGGCAGGATCCGGCGATATCTGGATAGCAAGAGTCGGGAGTACTGGTCCTTGCTTGCGGTGGGCAATCATCTGGACCTGTGATTCAGTGATAGACGCAATCGAGTGTTGTTGGACTGGTTCCCAGTCATCCTATATCGCGTTAGAACCTTCAATATGAATTAGGGGAAATTGTCACGCGAGGTCTTCCTACCCGAGCTTTATATATCGACAAATAGATGGCATCCGATTGCGGCCTTTGAGGCAGCGGTGCCTTCGATGACCGGCTGCCAGCGTCCTTGATACGAGCGGCGACCTGAGAGAAGCCGGTATTCGACGGGAAAGCATCCCTTTGTGGGCCGATGACGAGATATCGAGGCTAAATGTGATATTAGTATACTGGGAGTGAGATACACAGAGCGCAGATGCGCATCGCAGAGAGGATGGACTATGATTACCTTCCATACGGCTCTACCAATTATAGTACCCCTATCTGGGGGAACCAGTAGAGTACCCTCCATATTGGATTGCGCCGTTTGTCGTCGCTACGGCGCAGGTTGCGCGATACGTCGGGATTCTGCCGCAGCTTGGTCTGTACGATCGCGCACAGCAAGCGACAGGTCGGGTGTGAAATCGACTTGGTACATTAAGGATTAAGGCAGCATACTGCAAGAAAGCGGATGGCTAAGTAAGAGAAAGACACTGTCTTCCTTGTACGTTTTGTATTTTAGTAGAAGCAGAAAGCCAAACAGCTAAACCCCATTGACAAGAAATAGAAAAAGAGAGGAAGACTCGGGTCTTCCCGACAACGGTTTTCAAGGCTTTTTACCGAAATCGCACACTCAATTGGCCCGTCGCAAAAGTAATTGCAAAATATGATAGAGCCAACCGGATGGAAGGGGTGGCGAGTTAGGAATTTAGAAGAGAAGTGAGTGTGAATGGATTAATGGGTGAGTAGCGGGTAGTAGTAGTATGGGTGTAAAGTGTAGCATTCAATGTTGCTGACGAGACGAGACGAGGCTTGTTATGCTAGCGTGGACTTGTAGACTGCCCAGGTACGTTGTAACGGTTTGGTAGAGGGCCGAGGACCCCCTAAGAAATTAATAATTATTTTTAATGCAAGTCATTTGGGTGCGCATTCCCTGTAGAGTCTAGTGAGGTCCATGTAGTGTAATAAAAATACTATGGTACTACTAAATAGGTGCCTACAGGTACTGTACCACCGTCGTACTCAGGTCTTGTACATGCCCAGATGTAGCACGAAAATGCGGCAGGGGGAGTACGGGAAACTCTGGGTTCAATGTTGTCAGTTGTCAGGGTCGACTGGGGCCTTTTCCAGGTACTTTCGCACCTTCCAAGATCTGCAAATTATCATACAAACCCAGTTGTCTACGTAATTCGTAATTGCCATCTTTTTGTCTGTTGGGTAATCAAGGGGAACTACCAAGGTCATTTATGACATTTATGACAATTTATGATAGAGGCATAAATGTAGGTGAGACAGACATAAACTGTAAAATGATGATATCTAGTATACTTCAACCTGGTATATCGGACCATTCCAATGGATATATCTCATAGAATAATAAAGTCTAACTCAATTGAGTTTTAAGCCGTATACTAGGTATCGGACACTACTAGGCATGCAATTATACTAATTGCCATGTGATAGTTAGTAAGGAGTAGCGTATCTCAGAGTTTAGTTATTATTACCTAGTTCAAGCAAAGAATCGAGGTATTATTTCCGGAGCTAGCGGGTATGAAAGTTATGCGACAATGCCACAGAATACCATAATTTGCCATCATTTCCTATGCCTTTAACTATTCCGGCTCTTCTTTTATTCAAGTGAGACAAAATAATACTATTCGGCATATTACTTAGGCAGTTTATACTAGCTTTCTATAGACATCCGATGTTGTATGTCATAGTAACAACAATGGCCCCCAAAATCCAATCATTGTCACCTATTCGAACCTCAATCATGGAAATAAGTGGTTTCAGCTAGAGACGAAGGATGAAGACACAGGGATATACTCCGCAGAAAGTGGTGTGTTTCGTCCCAAGTCTGCCTAGTGAATGAGTTTAATGCTGTATCCGACAAGCTGGTCACACTTATGAAAAGGGCACCAGTGACTAGACTACTCGATAGCTACCAGGCTGCCAGGTAATAGTTACTAGTTTGCTAGTGGTATAGCCCGGAGGTATATGGAGAATCACTTGCGAATCCAGACGCCACCAGCCCACAACCGGATCACTAATTCTTTTTTAAAGAAAAAATCTCCTCCTATGGAATCATATCCATCTCAAGAAACCCCACTACCTTACCAATCAACATATTCTTTGGCCGAATTCAAAGAGACGTCTAGAAGCGCACGTGAATGAGAAGATTGCTCGATATACGAGAAGCAAGGTGGAGAATGCCTTGATGTTGAACGGCGAAATACGCTCAAGAGAATCCATTGATACCTACGAAGCACCGGCCAACGATTCGAGAATAAAGGGGTACTCTTCCACCGCTAGTTTTAATGCGCAATCCACTACAATACATACCGTGCTATGGTGCTATGGTATATACCGTACATACATGCCAGCATGCTAGCATACCAGCATACCAAACATATATCGTACCTAATGATGGCCGCATCTTATGCGGCCACCGCACTAAAAATCAACAAAAAGAATTCAATACCCCTATCAGGGAACACCATAGCAATGCGAACGTCTCGGGGGTTTCGTCGTTCTCTGGTCATGTACGGAATATTTTGACCCTATTAGAGAAGCTGTGAACTACTAGTCTTCTGCACGCTTTGACCCTGATTTGACAACGGACAAGTTTGCCAGTGCAGGGGGACGCGATTTTATTGGACCGTTCCTCAATCAGCTCTCTGCAACTAGTTTGATGCCCATGTGTTTTGCATGTACATGTTGGTAGAGAAGGTGGATCACTTGACATTACCATCTGTATGTGTATGCAGTAGCGGTGCAGCCAGATTCCAAGCCAGAAGGTGTCCTTAATGGATAGGTTCAACCGCGGATGTACGCAGTGCAGAAGCTTGGCTACAAAAAATACACTACTGCAGTTTTCTACCATTGTTCTAGAAGCCCACAAGGCCACGACAAATAAGGATCTAATACCTAGTATTTTAGAGCCCGCTCAGGATGGAGTCTAGCTATGCTAACTATCTCTCGATACGCAAGCATTGTAATAGGTCGATCGAGTTTACATATAGATGGGACGAAATAGTTGCATAAAGAAAAGCAAAGAGAAGCGATAGACTATTTTAGTCATCTGACGGACCAGTCTGACATGGGAAGATAACCGACTTCTTAGGGGGCGATCCTGGTAAGGATCAGGGGTAAAACCGCATCGAGAACGGTTCAATCATCGGAATAGCCCCCGCACTCTCAAAGAAAAAAAAGGGGGGATTGGAATCATTGAATACCCCACTAACGTTCCCGTTGAGATTTAAAGCCTTCTGGCTTTCTGGCTTTGTCGTATTTTTCGTGGCTTCAACACCTTTATGCTAAATCAGAGGTTCTAGGCCAAGCCACACCACTTTATTCTGGAAGAGCATCAACTATGTCTCCAGGTACCTGGTTTGATGAGTAGTACGTGGCTAATGTTGTGTTATGGCAAGCCGAAACCGACTTATCTTCCTATGATAACCGAAGAAACCGAAAAAACTGACGAAGTCCTAAGTTTCAAATTCACGACGGACAACTCGTCAGCTTGTTAGATCAAAAGCGATACAAGTTTGATTTACAATCGGCCCCCTGTTCGGCGTGTTAGGACGTATTCAAGTGCATAGGCAGGTTAAGCAAGTTGGTTTTAGCGAGACCACGGTCCAATGCTTCAATTTGCGAGTACGATAAGGTTTGTGAGATCCAGTGTCTAACTATGACGATGTACAATACAAATACCAGGTACCTAAGCAGATAGTGATGGTAGTGTAGCAATCGGCCTATTGTAACGTCAATGCCCTGGAAGTGCAAAGTTCCCAATCATGCCGAGTAGATATAATATACTCTATCAAAATCTAAGTTGCAGTAACGCTGAAGATTATCTTACATACCTATCTGCCTGTCCAGTCGTCTCACCTCACTTTAGACAGTTTAGATATTACAATTGAGGCTCCTAATATTTCATTCGTTGTTGTGGATGTCCTCCACCTCCGCCTTCGGCCAGTTAAAGACAGCCTCTACACCGATATAGTGGCGATTTAGCGAAGATTTCTGCTCCTTGCATAAGGATTATGCACATCAGCACCGAAGCCGTCCCGGTGTTCATCTTCTTTGCCCGGTCTAACAAGTCTGACTAGACGACGTTTGCAAGCCATAATTAGTCTCAGGTCCCTCTAATAGACGGCATTTTTCAATAATGCCGCTCAGCCAAAAACCTGTTCAACGTTACGTAGAATCCGATATTACTACTTGTTTTTTATAACTAATTCGGCCCTCATAGACAGTCGTTCCTGGATAGGATCACGCTCGGTCATCTAATTGGATTTCGAGAGCGTCCGAATTCGGCAGGTTGGTAGGCAGTTGACATACGTCTAAAATGACTTCTTCCTTCATCCGAAATCCTTTCTGCTTCCTCCATTTTATGCAGTCATGCTGGCGCGCATATTGAATCTACATCGACACGGCTTATGTACAGCTTGTGAGACAGATCATGATGAGAAACAAGGGGGTGGTGAAATTATTGCGGTAAATTCCGTCACAGATTTCCTCCTTTCAACAATACTTGGGAAGCCCAATGGCTACAGTAACACGCACTATTGCCATGCCCTGCTTATTCTACACGGAATGTCTGGAAGTAACTGCAACAACGGGCCGGCCCTTGGTACATGGCAAAGAAAAAAAAAGAATCGGTCAAGAGAAGAGCGAACGAAAGTACTACAATCCGAAGAGCCCACCCCACCGCGGACCACACCCGCAACTCCATATTCTAGGATAGTTGCAAAGATAAAATCCCCACTCCTTCGCATCATCCCCATATTAAGAACAATTCTGTGGAGATCGTCGACAGCAAGGCGGAGAAAATATAGCTCAAATTAACGGCGTGATGGTCAACACATTCACACATTCAGGATATCCTACTTCAATGTGCTCGAACAATATTCACGCGAAGAACATGCAAAGCGTTGCAGAATAGATGCCGTGCTGATCGATATCACATCAGGTCTCCTGTCTCTGACCTGACTAAACAGCCTAGAACTGCCTCCTCAACTTTCAACTCACAGGGTCGCCCCCTGAAGCCCACACGGTTGGGTAACATCTGCACTGAAATATTGGATTTGGGTCGACGCAATCACGCAAAAAGTCAACCCTTTATCTGAGATCCGGCGCTCCCAAGCCAATGTTCTCCTAAGCCTCTCCCTTGCTTAGGTGGCTATCGATGTGACGGTGGCCCACTACGTCCCAAGAAAAAACGGACATGTGCAGACCATAGGCTAAAGCCTAAGGAGTAAGGAGTAGAAGACTAAGGAACACTCCGTCGTCGTCGAGAAATTACGTAGGTAGATACGAGGGCGAGAGAAAAGAAACGCAAGAAATTCCTGGAGCGAATTCGCGAGGAACGGTGTCGGAGGCACTTTAATAAATGGCATGCAGCGAGACCAAGGTAGTGCAACTCTCCGTGTTAATATCCGTCCGGGCTCGGAGAAGAGATCAACTTCGGGATCGCTTCCCCCCACGCGGCGAACGGACAACGGGCTCAGCTAAGGGAGATACCAACCCCGGCCCTCCACATGGCAGCTGTAATGTATGTGCTACGTACATACATACATCCATACGTCGGTACATCCATACGCACAGAAAACACACACAGCAGGTAGGTAATTAACATGAAGCTAGGCATGTAGGGACCTCCCCATATCCCGCCCAAGTAAGGACCGGGACTCCTCTAATTTTGGAATATATATATATTAGGCGCGAGATATAGAGCGCGCGGCGACGCACGATGACCTAATTCCTTCTTATGTACTACAAATATCACCACATATATAGGCCTTGGCAATCTAGTCCGCACGCAGAGGAGAGAGAGCACACCGGCACACAAACACAACCGATCGGCGTCCGTATAACCCGTTGTGACGAGGCGTGGACGAAGATGTCGTAAGACTGAACCGCCGAGCGAGGAACGGCGTCTCTCATCTTAATCATCCATCTCGCCAAATTTTAATTATTGCAACCGGTTTTTTAGAGAGAGCTGTCTTCTCCAAGACCGCGCGCGGTTAATTCGAATACCCTGACCGCTCTTTCGTCCCCTACCTTCCCCATATCCGTCGTCCGCACTGACTCCCGAACTATCCAGACGGCTGGGGAAGAGGCGTCGAAGGACATCATCATATGTGGGTTAGGGTACGATGGGGCACACAATTGCTTTTTTTGCTTGGAAAAGAAAATTCGAGAAAAAGAAAGGAGAATGGCCTTTGCTTTTGCCACGCGATGCAAGGCGTTCGGTTTGCTACAGCGCCTAGTTAAAGCCATGTGCTTCTGGACGCTGATCCGTATGACCTCAGATCAAGGTGATGGAATAAGCAAATGATCAGAGAAATCTGCAGGTACTACTTAGGACCTAGGTAGGTGCTGTAAGCGTGAGGTTCACGTGGTAAGTGTTTGGAAGCCATTTCAATCTACAGGAAGCCAGTTACGAATCCCTCTAGCACGCAATATTCAGAGGCACGAGACGTGGTAACATTCATGATTCCCTTTTTTGAGATATCTCTCTAGCCTGCATATAGAATAGGCACTAATCATCCCTTTCATTACTCATAAAACAGTTGGGGACAAGCCCGCCACATCATACCTCTATCATAAGATCAAGGCAAGAAACCGGCCATCTCATCTAGCGCCTTATTCAACAATTCCGTTGCGATGGGATCCTGGGGGTTTATAGCCAGCGCTTTATGCAATACCTCGACAGCTATGTCGAATTTCCCTTCCTCCATGTATATTAAGCCCTTAGCTGCAAATATACCTGCATCCTTACCGCCCTGTCTGAGGACTTCGTCGAACTGTTCGAGTGCATCATCGTACCGCTTAGCACGGCGGTAGGCGTGCGCCAGGTTTGTGCGGGCTGAGATCCAGGCATTGGGTTCTGAATCGATCTCTTCGGCGACGTCGAGGGCCTTCAAAAACAGAGTGGCGGCATCCTGGGGACGGTCTTGGTGATAGTAAACGATGCCCATCTCGTTGAGCAGTAACGGGTCCGTCTTACAAAGGCCATATGCCGTTTTGAGGAACTCATCGGCTAGCGTCATGTTGTTAAGCGCGTGGTTCTGCATTCCGAGGAATACCTGAGGTAGGTGTGTGCCCATGAACAACCGCGCCGCCGTCGAGTATGCCGATATGGCTTGGTCATGTTCGCCCTCAGCCGCGAAAGTATGTGCGAACCCGATCCACGCCGGTCCGAAGTGCGGATCCATCATACTGGCTTTGCTAAAGTAGCGTCTGGCCTCTGCAATTTTGTCGATAGAAAAATAGTAGATGCCTACAGCGAGCCACGTACAAGGTTCTTCCGGATGTGAGTCGGCGAGGTCGTGCGAGATCAAGAAGAGCACGTTCTTCATCTTGAGTTCGTACAAGCAAGCTAAGTGTAGAGGATATATACTGAAGTTGTACTTGTCTTCTTGCAGGACAGAGTCGGTAATAGCTAACGCGTCCTTATATTTGCATTGCGTGTATAATAAATCCGCTCGAGCAAGTAGCAGATCCGGGTTTGAGGCCAGGTTATAATGTGTAGATAGAGTCTCACTAGCAGTTGTAAAGGCTGCCGGGTTCCGATACTTAGAAAGCCTAGTCGTGTAAAGCATCCTGGTAAATTCGGCAGCCTCCTGTGAGGAAGACGGGTCCGCGGTGACGGAGATGGCATCGAAATCTAAGGATTCTAAGAATTGCCACTCTTCGTCTGGTGACATAAGTGAATTCTTCATTAGCTGTTGGAAAGCTTCGAAACACTGGACGTCGATGCGCACGGCATCTTTATAGCACTCTTTTGCCCGGTCGAATGCATTCTGCTTCGCATAGCATATTCCCCTTAGAAAGCACATGGCGGCTTCGAAGCGTCTGTTAGCCGCTTCTTCCTCCGAAACTGCATCTCTTCGGTCATGTGCCTTAGCTGCGCCTCTGCCATGGTGCGAGGCAGTAGTACGCCCACTCGTATGCTGGGTTTTGCGCTTAGTTGCTGGGTTTGAAATCAAGTGCGTGGGATTCCGTTCACCAAGCACAGCAAGCGCCTCTTCAAATCGGGACTGCTTAATAAAGCAGTGAGCTGCTAAGTATCGACAGGATGGATTCCGGTTAATGAGATCCTGCTTAGATAAGAAAGTCTGCGCTCTGGTATAGTTCCCAGTGGCGAAATGAACCTGTGCGAGCCAAAAGGCATCGTTGTCATCATCTAGAAGATGTGAAGTTTAGCAGAAGGCGTGGCACAACATCATATACCCAACTTACTGGTTAATGCCAGAAGCTTATCCCCAATAAAAATAGCAGACTCGTATTGTGCCTTATTCAAGGCATCTTGCCGCCACTCGCGGAGAAAACTCTCCATACTCATATAACCTAGTGAGTAGGGTTATATGTGACGATTAGGCTTAACCGAATGAGGCGTTTGAAAATATGGTGGGGTCCGGACCGGTACGAGAGCCAGACGCGTTAGGATTCGCCGTCACGAAAAATCAGGTATAAAGGCGCCAAATTCCAAAAAATAGTGTACCCCTGGTGGTTGATTCAAAGGTCATGCAGTCAATTCACGAGAATTGAAGTAATCCGTCGAAATAGAATTTCCTCCTCTCCCCGTATCTATCGTTTACGTGAGTTGGTGTTGAACGGTCGTGAAGTTGTTTAGTTGATGTTTTCACGTGTAGCGGCACGGCGCGCTAAACGTTAAACCACTGAACACGCTAAATTCCCTAATTTCAGCCCTAAATGCGCTAAACTTTGTGATACAATCGACCCGTAGTGCTGGGTACTAGGTACTCCTCTATCCATGTATTGAACAAAACCTTATTATTGAGCCTCATCGTCTTCAACTAATAGTTTAATAGTGTTCCGAAAATGAAAGACTTTTATTTTATTTATCTATTAATTTCATATCAAAACCAGCCTGTCAGACTTGAAAAAGGCTACAGAGTACTACATACATAGGTACCTAGTAGGTAGGTAGTTCCTACCTACGTATGAATTCTGAAGACTAGCAGGTGTTACCCTTCGAACCTTCTTGCCTTGCTTTGCAGTGTGACTAAAGTTAAATTTTTGAGAGAAGCTTAAATTGACCTGCTCAATACCAAGATCGAGCGGCAATGGATCCATACCTCGAGAGCAAAAAAGAAGGGGGGATACCTCCCACCTATGGAGCAATCGCTCGGCGAGAGCCACTAACAAAACAACGGTAATCCTCGATTATGTTTTGTTCAAGATGCTTCATGCGAACAATATAAAAATTGGCCAGGCCTTGAGTTAATGAGCTCTAGCATTAACGATTGCTTAGGCTATTATCCCACGTATGCTTTTAGAGAAGTGAAGGCCGTGGCCGACATATTGCGCGTAGCTTTGCGAACTGCTGTGCCTCCATCCTGCGGGTTCCATATTCACATCGGCCAGGGGACTGGGTTCTTGCCTCTGGAAACCCTCCAGAAGCTAGCTGCTGTCATGCCCTCCGAGGAAGAGCGTGATGCCTGCGACAGACCAATTTACTCGATCGTGATTCCAGACGAGCCATTCAGGCTCCTCTAAAGCTACTTCGTAATGACCGAACAACAGAGCGATTCCGCTGTCTCAATCTCAACGCCCTCGGGACTTTCATGAGCAGCCCTGAGCGCGGTGCATACAATTTCGAAAACCACCTCGATATCAGGAGACAGTGTGCCAGGTAGGGTGTTACGAAGACTATCAAGTTTCAAGCAACCGGTACGATGGACGGCCGCTGGGTCGCGATATTCGCTAGAATCTGTATTAGGATCACCTAGTTCGCGCAAAATGCCACGATACAGAACGTTTGACGGTTAGTCTACTAGTGCCATATCGCGGAAAAGTCAGAGCACAGATACGATGTTTTCGACCTGCTACTTGACCTGGATCTTCCGGCTGGGGCTCAAATGGTGCGAACTAGATTGTAAAGGGGTTGGGGGTTATCACCCCGCGGAGATGAACTGACCATTTTCGTCGATTGAGGCTTGCAAGATGTGCAGCGAACTTAATGAGCCCATGCTTACAGATATAAAAGAGAATGGGAATGGCCTGCCAGCTGAGATGATAACAGGGGGTCGTACAGCAGTACTGGGGTAGATGTGGACAGTGGTGAAGTCCGTGGGGTGGTATTGGTATGAGAGTAGGCGTTATGGATTCTAGACATGCATTGCTTTTGTGTATTCTGAGCTGGTGTTTTGTGGTGTGAACAGATGGCCATCTCTTCAACGAAGGGAGAGGAAATACATGGGATAATGTTGATGATCATTTCTCCCATTCACTTTAAATAGGAGCTGGCAATAGAAATACCCCATATCCCGTATAAGCCTTCGAATTACAATGTGGTACTGACTACGATATGAAACGGGCGATGGTGATGAAGCTGAAATTTTACTGTGTACCTGGTGGTTGATCGGCAAGACATGTCAGCAGAAGGATCGGTTTCCCGTCCGCCGCATGCAAGCCACGCGTAATGAGCGCCGTCATTGGCGAGATAAGAACGCCGGCGGTCATCAACTACCTCTAGGATATAGCGTACTACTCGGTGCCAAGTCTGCAAGGCATTAATTGTTTGATGAGTGACGTAGTACAAACCGACGAGTCTTATGCCGTTTTTGCCGATTCAAGGTTGTTCTCGGGTTTAGGTAATCCAAGGGCTGAAGAATATTAACGAAGCCGCGCCCGACAAAGGGAGATGTTCGATAGGATATCAAATCTTTTAGCGTCCGACCATGGTGTAAACTCTAAGTAAACCACTTAGAAGTCCGTTGAGTGAGGCTATAGTGTTAGTAGCTGCGGTCTGTTCAGCAGGCTACGATGCTCGTCATTTATAAATTAGCAAGCGTATGCGCAGTTGCTTTAATCCTCATCGGTAGGTAGGCAATGAAATTCTTGGGGGTTTCCAAATCAATAGGTGGACTAATATCAAATTCTACAGCTCTCTTCTTTTTCACCCATCCAGTCGACGTCGAGTACCAATGGAATCGTCTCGCCCAAGGAAAGAACAAACCCTCTCACAATGGAGCTGTGGCAGGCGGTATGCCTCTACGAATGATGTTCATAGGCGCTTCGGTCACCCGTGGTGAGGTTTCGACGGGGGATAGGGGTTATAGGAAACAGCTTCGTGACAAGCTCACGTCTCTGGGTAACCCAGTCAACTATGTTGGTTTCAACCGTTTCGGCGACTTTCCCGACAATGACGTCGAAGGTTACGGCGCCGCACGAATTAGACAACTTCGCGACCATGCGGAACAGGCTGTACCGTACCTCCAACCAAATCTCATCCTCATCCAAGTCGGCACTAGCGACTGCTTTCAGAAAGACGATCCTGTAAATATCCTAACCCGGATGCGCGATCTTGTCGAGTACCTCCTAGAAGCCTCGCCGAAGGCTACAGTTATCATGTCGACTCTCTTAACGACCCCCGACCTCGAAGCCGAACCGTGTATGAAGAGTGCGAACGCGCAGATCCGCCAAGTTGCTACCGACTTGATTCGAGAGAAGAAACCGGTCGCAATAGCAGAAATGCACTACGACCAAGGGCTTCCCCGTCGACCGAGGCCTGAAGATATCGGGGGCGACCGTATTCATCCTACAGATGAAGGTTATTTCATGATGGGAGATATTTTCATGGAGAAAATTCGGGAGGTTGAGGAGAAGGGATTTTTGAAGTATCCGGCCGAGAACGGTATCCCCGAAGATGGCGAATCGAGCAGAGAGGTTGAAGACCAGCTTAAAGAGAAGGCGGAAAAAGAACATCCCTTAAAAACATAGAGCCTACGAAAACACTTAGATGGGGATGCTAGCCGGGATGTATTTTTCCAAATCGCAATCTAGTCCGATCGATGATGGTGTAAAAGTTTGGATGACTCCGGGATAGATAGGTAGGTACCTACTAATAATCAGAGACATGATATGAACTTCGATCCGAAGGGCCCTCAAGCTTTCCGCATATCGGGTTGTCAAACTACAGTATCACTTTTGCTCAGAAATATCAGCGCTCTTGGCTACCTCTTCCCATTCGTCACATATCTTAATCATGTCCTCACACTTCGCCCTTATTCTTCCCCACCCATCGCTTCCTAAAGGGATTCGTAAAGGTATGTCCTTTCCTTCAGCTACACCGGTTCCCTTCACCAAATCAATCATGATCGAAACGGCTTTTTCGGCATCACCAGGCTCATTACCCACTACGCCAGCCTCGACCGCGCGAACAGCTGTGTTGAATTGAGCATAATCAGGTACGCGTGGAGGTACGTGGTTGATTTTGGCGAAAGCTCGTGTACGAAAGTAGCCTGGTTCTATGATCAGAACCTTCAGGTTAGGCGCAAACATGGCTAGCTCTTTTGATAGACACTCGACAGCACCTGTAGAGGTAGTTCATAAGCATTTTATGTTGTTTCAATTAGAAGATAAAGACAGAGATAGACTACGCCGGCACAGGGCAGGGGCTATAGTATAAAATCAATATAAATGAAAATTTTACCTTCGAGTGCAAATTTACTGCCACAGTAGCCGGCCGCGCCAGGGTCAGCGTGCCAACCTGCTTGGGAGCTGAGGTATAAAAGGGTTCCTTTGTTCTTAGCTCGGAGTTTCGGGAGCAGAGCTCTGGTGATATTGAGGGGTCCATGGAAGTTGGTGTCAAAGATATCTTTGAGCTCCTGGGCACTAAGGGATAGCCATGAGTATGTTACATCAATTTGTAGGCGTTACAAGTTGAGTCAATAGGTTTGTACTTACGTGAGTTCCTCAACTGCACCGCTAAGGATATACCCAGCATTGTTCACGACGACATCTATACCACCCGGGTAGATGTTCCAAGCCTCAGCCATCTTGGCCTCAATTTCGAGGACAGGTGCGGTAACATCAAGATCGAGAATACTGGCGCCAGTATCAACTAAATGAGCGAGCTTGGATGGAGCGTTACGGCCGGTTGCAATGACATTGTCTCCTAAGGCGCGAAGCTGGCGAACGAATAGCTCGCCGAAGCCGCTGGAACAGCCGGTGATAAGCCACGTTTGGGGATTCGTCGCCATGAGGCTTGGTCTAGAGGTCTAGACTTGGAATCAATCCTACTATACTAGACACCAACATATGTTATGAAGACGTAAAACGAGTAGTCAGGGGTAAACTCCCTGTTGGTTCACGGTGTTTGTTAGGTGATTGACACAACTCGCAACAAACGCCGTTGCCTCATGCGACATCGTGACCTTGATATCCTCCCGACGTGCGGGGAAGATGATATTCGAATCAGCACTAAGCTGCTAACTATTCATAATGTAATCGTTTTACCAAACAGGTAATTTTATAGAGAAGCACGGCTCTAACGACCTAATAGGTGCCTGTAAAGACTTGAATCATGCCGGTCTAGAGTTATAAATCCGATTCTAAACGGATTTCCGTAATTATTCATGCATAAATGTTATGCAATTTCATTTTGTTTTATGTCGATGGTTACTTAATACATAATACCAACGAGGTTAAGGATATTCGAATATCATCGCCAATCAGAAGAGCTTTGTTCCTGCAGACCTCGGGAATGCCAAGGCGGGTTATCTATTTGGATCTTTGTCCCAAGCCACATGACAAACACGTTTCTGTACATCATCCATGATCTGCCAGGTACAGCGTACAATGTAACGAGCCATCGGCAGGGTCTCTTAATTGCACGCATCGGTACCGGCACCGGCAAGCAACAGGGGTAGCCGACGGAGCTGACGCCTTACAAAGCCGTCTAGAGCTTTTCATAGGATTCGATATTCCCGTTCTAGGTAGGTAGGTGATAAAGGAGCCTTATATTGACACAGTTAGGTCTTCCCTGTTGTCAGAATCAAACCATATGTTGGTAGGAGTTAGACATTCCGTGTCTTGAAAGAAGCCGCGCGTATTACTATTCGGCACGACTTCATCGGGAAATATTACCAAAAGCATCTATCTTTCTCAACGACCTATCCGTAGGGGTAGCTGAGTTTCAACAAACGCCACGCCAGCACAGCGCAAAAAAGAGACTAAATCTTCCAGCCACAGAATTTGGTCCCTGGAAAAGAGTATTACTACATAACCCGGCAGTTCAAGGCTGATCCTAGCTACAAATCTAGATGGCGCTCTTACGTGGTTTCACTAGCACGTTGAGTACAATGAACAATGGACGGGATGCTAATCAGGAACCGCCATTCATCTCCTGTTTCAGCCAACCCGCATCGTTAGGGACCGACTAAGCAAAAATGTTGAAAGAAAAAAAAAGCCTACCCCCAACCGCGAATCCTTCCAATTTACCACCTTCCTTTGTCCACTAAACAGAAGCTCAAAGAGCTTCCGAGCGGGAAGGCCACGAGCTTCGGCGGGTCCTACCTCCAACAAAGCCGCTTTGAGGCAGATTATCATGGGCGATGTTACAGAAATAGCCTTTCAGGTGGATATCGATGGGGCCGGTAGCTCGGGCACTCAGGACTAGTATATAAGCTGAATGGCCTCAACCCACGATGTAAGTCGGCCAGCGTCAGGTCTTTTTGCCCATCTCTGCATTCCTTCACAGCCTGTCGGCCAGTCATTCCTTCTAAACAAATCAAGTATATTTGTTTAATTTTTTCTACCCACTCTCCTTTTTCACAAGAAAAAATTCTTAAGATGCGTTTCAGTGTCTTGTCATTCCTTACTTCTGCGGCGGCCGTGTCCGCCGCTGTCATTCCCTCCTCCTCCTCTGCCCCCGAGAAGCGCGGCGGCTCTATCTCCGTGACACCGCACGACAGCTACTCGTCCTCCATCGGGGTGCTCGGCTGCAAGATCAACACCAACCGCGCGGCGTACTGGCCATCATCACCGGACTGCAACAACATCTGCGTGAAAGTCAGCGCGAACGGGCGGTCCGTGAACCTGCTCAAGGTGGACCAGTCGGGCGGGGCGCACGACATATCGTATGACGCGTGGAACTACCTGTCGACGGGGAAGAACGCGACGGAGGCGCCGACAGCCGGGGGCGGTCTCGCGGCCACGTACGAGGACGTGCCGATGTCCGAGTGCGCCCACCTCCTGAAGGACGGCAAGCACCTCGCCTTCGCCGCCGCCAACAGCATGAACTTCATCACCTCGTGCTCCGCCAACACCTGGGTCGGCAAGAACTACGCTCTCTACAACATCCTCAACACCCAGTGCACCTGGGGCTACGACGAGCTCTGCCGTATGCCCGACCCCAGCCAGGGTAACCAGCCCATCTGCGAGCACACGCTCGGCCTTACCGTGGCGCTGAAGACTTGCCCTGTCTACAACATCGCTTATCCTACCGGCAAGCTGTCTATTGCGGTATAAGACCACTTTCATTATAAAAAAGACTAAAAAATTGGCGTGGCTAGAATGGTACTCCTTTATTTTAGAAAGGAGGGTTTGTTGAGGCAATTGTGCTTGAGGCACCTTCACTTCTGATCTCTTCGCTTCGAATATTACTACATACTATCGGTCACTGTACATATTTAGAAGTTGCTGTATGCTGTATATAACAACCTACTTAGCTTAGAACAAGCACTTGCCTCAATTATACATTCACTTTCAACATTATTATATGTACCTAATGAGCTCCAAAACAAGTGACTATCGTGATAATTACCTACCTAGGTACTCATCAAATTCTAGGTCAAGCCTCCAGTTTGTGAAAAATTAGGTTGGTATTCTGAGTACCTGACTATGTATCCAACCAACCAACCTCCCATCCAACCCTCCATTCATTGATCCCCCATCCAGTCCAGCCAGGAAAAAAAACGCAGCAAAAAGCAGAAATACAATCGATCCATCCATCCATACAAGAAGCTCAAACACCTATGCCATGCAAAAATTATCTACCTCCCTTTAAAAGCGAAAAAGAGAAAGTAGATCCAGATGCGGAAAGAGATCGTAACTTCGTGTTAGATCTCCATCCCCATCCCCGGCGTCTGAAAAATGTGAATCATACTGTGACGACCCGTACGTAGCCTTCATCGTACAAACCCTGTATATAGCAGCTCCCACTTGTGATCGCGTTTCTGGAAGCCCTGTCTCGTTATCCTACACATTAACTTAATTCATTGCTGCACGATGCCATTTCGGCTCATAGGTCCCAGTTTCCCTAGGAACCTATGAGGGGTTACCTAAGCATTAGGCCAGCGCTGCCGCAGCCCATCGACCCATCGACCGAACAGCACATCGGAGAGTTGCTTGCAGTGTTCCATTCCGGGCTGAGCCGGCTGACCGGGGAACTTAGCTCGCAACGCAGCCTTCTCGAGATCGCGTTCGCGGTCCCGGTCTCGCTGACTAGACTTTCCGGGACTTCCGTTACTGGCAACACTCGACTGTCGCCGTCTGTGGCTCTTCAAGTGCGGGTTGTTAGACGCTAGGACGAGCTTCGCGGGAGTCGGGTTCTGGTTGCTTGGTGTCTGGCTCTTAATAATCACTGTGCCTTGAGGCGTGGTGTCATATCCTTTGATGGAATCATTAGGCTGCTTTAGGAACGCATTCGATAGCTTGGCGTCGTGTTGGATGTTGGAGTTTAAGTTGCGTAAGAGGTGGTAAGCGCCCTCGGGATCAACGGAATTGAGTAGTGCGAGTGCGTCGGATAACTTGCCGAGAGCGTCGCGCTTTGCCATACTCGATGTCTGGGCGTGGAGCTCTGCGAGGGTGGGCTCAACTGCCTTGGAGTAAAGACGACGTCCGAGGATTGCTTCCTTGTTCGTCGCTTCGGTTGTGTTGGGATGCTTATTCTCATCTGCGGGTATATCGCTCGAGTTGAGAGATGAGACTTGACCGGACGTAGAACCGTCGGAGGGTACTCTTCTAAAGAGGCGCTGGGATGAGCCTGAATTACCAAACGACATATCTGGTTGAAGTGGCCGTCGTAGTGCTGGTGCGGGCGGGGCACGCGAAGAACCGTTACTTGACATTTGAGCTAGAGAATGCTGTCTTCGCATAGTAGCCTTGCGCATAGTAACCGGGGCCGGAGAAGACGGTTGAAGCGGAGCATCTTTGATGTCCATTCTGCGTAATGCTTCCTCTGTAGAAAAGATTGAGGATGGCTTTCTTGACTTAACAGTTGGCCTTCTAGGTGCAACCGATCTGACAGTGTCGAAGACCCACTCATCTCCCTCGTCCTTAGGAGAGAGATCTCTCATGGTCTCCTGATAAAACGACCGGCTCTTCTTCTTTGTTCGAGTAGCGTCGTACTTGCGTCGTCGCTCAATCAATTCCTGCAATGCCTCCACCTTCGCCGAAGACCTAACGAAACGGTGCTTAAGCATGTCCTTAGCTGAGGGTCTTCGGTCCGGGTCCTTCATGAGGCACTGCGAGACGAAGTCCCTGAAGTCTTTCGAGAAGTTGCCCTCCAGCTTGGGTGGGGCACTCTTGGGAATATGGAACAATGCCTTCATAGGATGAAGATTGGAGTGAGGAGGTTCACCGAAGGCCAACTCAATGGCGGTGATTCCCAGAGACCAGATATCGGCCTTGAAGTCGTAGCCGGCTTGTTGAATTACTTCAGGTGCCATCCAGAAGGGCGTACCGACGAAGGTGTTACGTTGTGACTTCATGTTCGTGAGTTGAGCTGCCACTCCAAAGTCGGCTAGCTTAACCTTGCCTGTATCCGAGAGAAGGATGTTTGCAGCCTTAATATCTCGGTGGATCTTGCCTTCGGCGTGGAGGTATTCGAGGCCACGAAGTAATTCGCGACATATGATAGCAATGTGCGTCTCGCTGAAAGAGGACGGCTCGGGTTTAAGCTGTGGGAAGTGATCTGTCAGATTCGGATACCTGAAGTGATTTATTTGTGATATCTTACCAGATCAAGACACGATCCACCACCGAGGTACTCCATAACAATCCATAACTTACTACCCCTCAAGAAACTAGCTTTGTATTGGGTAACGTAAGGACTGGCGCAGGTGCTGAGAACTGAGATCTCGGCTTGAATGTCTTGAATATCATCTTCGGTGGACTCAAGATCAATCTATTGGAACATGTGTCAGTGGATGATTGCATGAGTGGCGGGAAATGCAAATGCGACTTACATGCTTGATGGCAACGACTTCCCCTGTTGCAATTTCAATGCCTTTATAAACCACACCAAAACTACCACCTATACGTATGACGTAGATTAGCAAATGTTATTTATATGTATGATAACCAAATGGTATGATAGGGGGAATTGAGGAGATACGTACGGCCAAGTTCCTCAAGCACCTGGTAGTGGCTTGCGATAGCCTCAGAACCCATTTTGTAGTTGAATTATTGCACTTCCGACTTCGATTTTTATGAATTGTATAAATACAATTTGAAATACGAAGTGCAGCGACTACAAAAGTCGTGGCTGTAACTCAGGAGGCAGTGGCAGCTAAGTAGCCGCGGGCTGCGCAAGCAACGCAATGCTTGGAATCAAACAATGCGATTAATGTATGGGGGGGAACCTGGAACGTCGTGTACTTGGTAGAGTGAACAATTGCTTGGAAAAAGGGGCAATTCGAAACTGATTAGAGTGGCCTTCAATTTGAAAGGGAGAAATGTGAAAGCCGATTGAGCAAGACGAGTAAAAAAGTGAGAGTAAAGCGAAGTTTGAGGAATTAGGAGGATTGCGACGTCTTGAGGATAAAGTTGAAGGTTTGTATGTTTAATGTGCGATTATTGCGATGGAGCGTCGGAGCATTGGTTGTCTAGGTGCAAGCTCCTAAGAGCTATGACCATCAACAGATTACCGTTATGGGGGCTAGTGGGCGACTTATCACCCGGAATTAACGTTGGGTTCGCGATATGGCTCGGAGCTTAATACCTAATCTACCTATACGTGAGGTACCTAGGTGATTAATGTACTTCGTTCGTTGGTCAGCCTTTTCTTCTTGAACAACATAGAGGAGGTCAATGGTTCAATTTGAAATGTCGCGATAATTCTCATGGTGGATAGGCCGAGAAGAGTAACTAAAAAGAAGGAAATGCGTAAAGCTGCATATGATGGACTAGCTTCAGCTGATAAAGCACACAAGAGACGCATGTATCGCCTGTGTGTTTTACATACCAGTGGCTACATATGTACATTAGCGGCATCGATACATGCACGGTGAATCCGGGATTTTGATTCGTGAATGGGAAAACAGGTAAACAAAGTGACGTGCATTTATTGCCTATCGATACATTTATGCCTTGTACCTTTTTACTCTATTATTATGCGACTATAATCACCACGACCATATATAAATCAATCTTTTCTTGAAAAAAATCGGGCAAGTAGAAGAAAAATGATGCATTCGGTGTAGATATCAAACTCTTCATAATTCCATACCTGCATTGATATATCTTACATAGATTCATTGAGAGAAGTAGGGTGAGTGCACGGTATCCGTGTACTGTTTTATGTACCTCTACATATATGGATACAGTACCCGTAACCCCTAGAAACTTAATGCGAGTGCGGGAACCAGCAGACCTTATTCCGTTTAAACTTGCGGGTCCCAGCTGAGCCGTTACCCGGCAACGCAGAAACACCCCTCTGTTTTCCTACGATGGCTTTGCCAAGACCCATAGACTGCAACCTGCTCCAATTACTGCCCCGAGCTTCTACTATTGAACCGCAGTTTCACTCACAAACATCCCAATCATAATCGACAGATCTGACCTGATGTGCTGGCAACCCCCATACTTTGCTGCTTTTCCCCTACAATCTCTACAATCTACAAGTCCCCAAATCCCTTACCCTTACCTCATGCTTGCCTAGGTGCTTAGCAGCCGTAATAATCATAATAGTTCAACGTATTATCGAACGGCATTGTTGATCCATCCGTCGGGGCGTCCCCACGAACACACTACATTCTATTCGTACCTCACCGCCTCATATGGTATCGTCTTCTTCAACTGCGTATTTACTCCATCGCCTTGCAGCAACCACCCAAAGCGCTGTAAGGGATTTAGAGTAAAAATCGAATTCCTCTAAGCCGGTTCCCGATTTACAGACTCAATCGCCGCATATTCCAAGCTGGCGAATAACCAATTACTTACACTGCGAATATCGGCATGATGGGGTCGGCACCACCGTTACCCACGCGGTTTCCGTGCTGGTGTAGAGCCGTTTATTCTTGGGGAGGAGAAGTATGTAATTGACTTTACCGTCCAACTTTTGCGCCTCCATTTTAACTTTGTTTACTTTTGCTAACCGCCCATTTAGTCACAACACGATCTCGGATTCATCGAGGGCGATTTAATAGAATGTTTAAACGCAGGAGACGGATCGTGGTGGACTGGAAGGCTACGGCGAAATAAGACCGTCGGCGTCTTTCCGTCCAATTTTGTCGAGGTTCTACCCGATGATTTTCGACCAATTACGAGATCTGCGAGTCCATTGACTTCGAGTCACTCCCCGAGTCCTACAAACACTCCGCACAAGTCCAAGTCGCGAAACTTCCGCAAACCATTCGAGGCCTACGCAAAGGCACCTCACTACACAACGGCAAAACAACCCGAAATAATAAGAACCGCATCCAACACACCGCCAAGAAAGAATTCCGCTAGCTCCTTTAGGAACGATGCGCGTCGCGGTATTGACCGTGGCCCGTCGCCGGCTGAGGCTCGGGGACATGGATCAAGAGGCCCGTCGCCGGCACCTCCGCTGGCGAACTCCTATGCCCCTAGAGGCGCGTCTCCTATTCCTCCCATGCACTCGCACTCGCATTCATACCCGCAAGCCCACCCGCGTACGCACTCTAGGGGCCCTTCACCAGTTCCTCCACAAGGCTATGACTATAGCCGAGGGCCGTCGCCCGTCCCGCCTCCGGGTCAACAACAGTATGGTTCCAGGGCTCCGTCGCCGGCTCCGTCATTCAGTTTCAAACCATACCGCCCCGGAGCAGAGCGCGACTCACCACCACCTCCGGCTCCGCCGCCCCATCGCCACGTAATTACAAGAGGAAACTCAAATGCGTCTCACATGTCCCGTGCATCTTTTGATAATCGACGGCAGGAAGGATACCACACACCGAGAGTACCCTCACCACTTCCCCAATCCCCAGCTGGCGACGGATATACCCCCTCGCCCCTACGAGAGGCGATGGACGGCGTGATCGAGCAATTAGACGCGTTAGGAATGACACGCGAGCGTTCAACGGAATCCCCAGAACCGCATTTAGATCCATGGTCACCGGAGTCCTTCGACCTCGTGCATCGCCGTTCAAGAAAAAGAGCGCAAACCAGACCCCTCGCCTCTAGAAGTATGCCTTTTGAAGATTCAGGGTATGGTGGCTCGTTCAACGGCGGCTCATCGCAAGAAAGTACATACCACGGCAATGTTCCGAAAGAGCATCCGCTGCCGCAGCTGAATAATTACGTGGAGAGGATGGAGAATCGGTTTCGAAAGATGCATCATCAAAGTTCGAATGCGGGGAGCATGGACAATGATGACATGGGTCCCCCGCCGCCACCGCCACCTAAGAATCCGATCTATAGTCGGCCGAAGTCCTCGATGGGTGATAATGATCACGGGGGAGCACGTAAATTCCTACGAAAACAGAAATCGTCCTATGAGGTTGGGGTATTGGACAGAACAGGTACGAATAAAACAAATTCGACGAATGCATCGTCCGGTAATAGGAGTACCGCGACGAACAGCACTCAGCGAAGTTTGATGAGTGGCGTCTCGGCAGGCGGAATTAGCGCTACGAGCGCTGGTAGCCTGGCGAGAAAGAACTTTCGTGCGCGGAGTGCTTTGGGATTTCGAGATGCCGACAACGATGACGATTGGGATCCGAATCGGCCGGTTACGCCATTTACAGGAGTGTCTTATCATCCGAGTCACTCCACATCTGCAATGAGACCCCAATCCCAAGCTGGTTTCAACGATGACGGGATCGCTTCTATAGGAGGCCTCGTGCAACCTGGAACCACAAAACCTAAGAAGCAGAATTTCATCAAGAGAATTCTAGAGGCTACGAAGACAGGTGTTGCCGGCAGTCGCAGTAGTATTGCGACTGGTTCGGGCTCTGGGCAGGCTTCGCCGACTAGACGGTCGATAGTACCTAATGGGATCACGGCCTTAGCGGGTGGTGCTAGCAGCACGAACCTCGTACGAGACGCGGCAACCGATATGGGACTTACGAACGGGGTGGACTGGGTTCAAGTACGAAGAGATGTGAACCGTTCGAATACATTGAGTAAAAATGAGCGAACCGAGCGACGCGATCGCTGCTTAATGCTGGATTATCCCGCAATAGATCCCGTCGATGAGCTCTACGAGAGCGTCCAGGGTGACGAAGGCGCCGATTCCATGCCAGTCCGCGAGCCGATCAACTATCAAGTCATAAATCTAAGTCAAGTGGATAAGAATTCGCGCTTCATCAGCAGCCTGCCGTCAATGACGACAGCTGTTACTTTGGCGACAACGTACGTCTGCAGGCCATATAAAAGTGAAGTCCAGCGTCTCCGAGCGATCTTCACTTGGGTTGCGGAGAAGGTCAATTGGGAGGAGGATTTCGACGGGGACATAGATACGCGACGAGCCATCTCGACTAAGCGAGCATGCTCCGAAGAATACGCCGTTCTTGTTCATGAGATGTGTGCGGCGATCGGAATACCCTCTGAAGTCATTCGTGGCTACCTCAAGACTCCGGGTGAGGTTCCTGAAACGGGCATGATGCCTCGATCAAATCATTTCTGGAACGCTGTCATCATCGACAATGAGTGGCGCATGATAGATTGCTGCCTCGCAAGCCCGTCAAATCCCCGCCGCGGACTATACTCGGGCGCCAGCAGTGCAATTGCAGAATCTTGGTATTTCCTCACTCGCCCTTCCGAGCTTTGCTGGACGCATATTCCTGAGCATCATAGCCAACAACACATCTGTCCGCCGGTTGCTCACGAGACATTGCTTAACTTACCTGGCGCTTGTCCCCCGTTCTTCAAGCAAGCGATTGCCATGGTCGACTACAATACCTCCCTAACTCGCATCGAGGACCTCGAGATGGTACACATCAAGTTCAACGTACCCCCTGATATCGAAGTAGCAGCGGAGGTCGAAGTCCGAGGATTCACACGCGATGCAGACGGCGACTTCTTCGAAAACGGAGAAGTAGTGAAGAAACGCGCGCTCGCACAAGCAGATTGGTACAATGGCGGAAAGCGATACACGGTAAAAGCGCTCCTTCCGGGAGACGAGGGAAGTGGAATCCTGAAGGTCTACGCGGGCAAACGCGGACTTATGCATAGCATCAAGGATATACCGCACCCCCTCGCGTTTGCGCTGCCGATCATGCACACAGGCGAAAACCCTCCGTACGAGTTCGTCACTCGCCACCCAACGCCACACGCGCAGCGTCACGACATATACGTCGTGCAGCCGCAGTGTCAGCGCCTCGCGCTAAACAACACCTTCGTCTTCGCCATCCGTCAACACCCGTCCTTCCTCTCGGGCGGACCGTCCAGCAACCCAGGTGGCACAAGCCCGACCCCGTACGCGCGGCCCGGCAGCGCTATGAGCATGTCGAGCAGCGCAGCGGCATCAAACCCCAGCTCGGCAACGGGCAGCATAGCGGGGAAGAAGCCGGCGAAACTGGCAATCCAGACTCCTGGAGGCAAGATCCTCAGGCTCATGCGCAAGGAGGACCGGAGCGGCAGAGGCGGCATCGGGGTCGGCGGACGCACGCCCGCTGAGGAAGAGGCTAGCGACGGCGGAACGTGGGAGACTATCATCAAGTGCTCCGAGCGCGGGGTCTGGCGCGGCCTGGTGCTCGCTGACCGCACCGCTAGATGGTGCGTCTTTGCCGAGTGGGTTTGCATCTAGAAAAGTCTTCGGTGCGAGCGTGAGCGCTTGCTTGCCCCAATCTCTCCGCACCAGCTTCGTGCGTAGCCTACCTAGTCTGTAGTGCAGTTCTGGCGTTCCCCCAACTTTCTACGGCACACCACCCCAAAATCCCCAAGCCCCAAGCCTTACTAAACTAGCGGGAGGGGGGTTCCACATTCGTGGTGTGGTGGTGTGGTGTGTCGCGGCGCGGCGCTATGTACGAGGGTACATGTACGCTCCAGGATTCTGCATACGTTGACACTTATTGGATGGGGACCATGGGATGGAAATCCCGGGGGTTGGAATTCGGGGAGACTATGGGGACGACCTACATAACAACACGCACATACTGGGTGAGGATTTGTTAATACTGAACGCGCCGGTGGAATATTCGGCCAGACCGGGTGGTGCTATACTCTATTTTTTTTTGTTGCTGTCTTCGTCTCTCTGCATCTACTCGGCGTTTATGGACGAGATAACGTTTCAGGAAAGAAACGTTGGATTCATAACTCTATTTCTGACGGCCGGAATGGAGAAGATATGTTCGATCACCTTGGCTCTTTTTTAAACTTTTTTTTTTCGCACCGAGAGGCGTTTTTAAGGCGGCATGGATGAGATAGGACGTGGATGCTATCATCCCGATTGGTTCGATGTTGATGTTGTCAGATTCAAATGTACGTGTAATAGGAATTGAAATGCTACCCGCCGTGCTTTGCGCATAGCACTTTACATGAGACACCGAGTGCCCGTTTGCTGTGACCGTTACTAGTGCTACTACTCGTCCCGATCGTCTTCGTTGAATAAATGGGATGGTTATTGCATCCGATGTTTGCCGTGCCAATGTCCGTGCTCATGTGATTCTATGCGTGTACCTTGTTCTACGGTGACTCAACTTTAAACTAACGTATTCTAGGAGTGGATTGAAAGCCGCGTAACAAGTTGGTAATATGAGGGCCTCGTGAGTACGGTAGTTGGTAATAATGGCATAATGTCGAAAGTTCTCGCTATTGAACTACAAAGTTGGTAAGGTCTGTACAAAATTTCATTTCAGCTGAGAATAAGCGCAAGGTTTAGATTCGAGCGCGAAAAAAAATAAAGCTCCACCTGACAACGTGCCTGTCGTCTTTTTGCGGCGGGCGCCGTTAGGAAGGATCGGTGCGACCGAGGAAAGTCCAGAACGTTAACCTTTTTTCAATTACCTAAGCTCCTTTAGCAGCTTCCAACGTTCCAATGTTCCATAGTCGTTAAATCTTAAAATCTTCAACACGTGGCAGGGATCCATACCGATATTAATTAGGTTATTACAAGGTTTAGAAGGTTGTATGGCGGTTTACAACTCTACAATTCTAAGACAAGATAGAAACGTTTCGGCGAGCATTCTCACACCTTCTTCAACAATTCGTCAACGTTATCGATAACTTTGCAGATGGCGCAAGCCAATCAGCTCAACAATTTTACGCCATCGTAGCCAATGCAGCCATTGTAGAGATTTATAAGAGCAGCAATAGATCCGAATCGGACCGTCCTCGCCGCCTCCGTTACGAGTACGAAGTACGGGGTAACTTTAGCGACCTAACCTCTAGGGAAGTTCCCTCCAAGTCTCCAAGCTTTAGTAAGTAATAAAGTCACTGTTGATCGCGACAGACGAATCTGCGAATGAGGGACGAAGAAAGAAAAGATAATTAAAATATTGGAGATTGAAGTCGAAGGTCTCCAATTGATTGACACCGACAAGCTGGAAGCGCAATTGACCGTCGTCGCGTCGTTGCATCGGGCCACCCTCTCTCCACTATCTCGGTTACCGTTACAGACGATTCAATGAGATCTCATCTTCGACAATTATTTTTTTCTGAGCATTTCATTTGCCCCTAGGGTCTTTAGAACATTATGTCCTCATGACATAATCCGCATACTAGCCAGGACTGGCCAATTGCCGCGTTAAAGCTAAACTTGTCAGCGGAGCCGCATCTCTTTTTGCCAGGGGACGGGCCATAAAACTTCAAGGAACATTGGAAGCCAACGACAAAACGGCCGACGCTATCGCCGTGGCTCCACAATAAGGCCGAATATACCGAGTCAGGTCCACGCATTAACTCTGCATTCAGTCTTTCCAATCCTTTGGTAGAGAGAAGCTTGAATTCGGCCGATTTCCTTCCTTGTTCTCTATTTCTCTAAAGGCCCTTTTTCCAATGCGCCTGTCCTTGACACCGGACCGACCGGTTTACAAAACTCCATACTGGGGGTAAATTGGGGTAAGTCGGGGTAAGTATGGTGGGTAGCTGAGCTTCAGTCGGCCTAATGGCTGGTGGAGTTCTTCATCTCATTCTCTGGAGTTGACGGGGAAGAGTACGGGGAGGGAGGCAAGAAAAAAGCCCTCTTCCCACATGGACCCTGAAACTAAACAGATGGGGTTTCGACTTTTGCTCTCCGGGCTGTCTACCTAATACGAGCTGAGCTATTAGACCGAATTTCTTGCTTGCTGTTAGAGAAGCGAGCCTTTCACATATTAGACCATTGCAGCATGATATCGCCGAAATCCTTCATGGGGTGATAATAAAAAATATTACGCCGAAAATACCATGCGTCAGGTGACTGGCGAAGACTCAGAAGCTATGAGAGCTATGAGATGCAAGCCGTCACAGGAGCAGCAATGGTCACAAATTTATGGGGTTTTAGGGTCATTGAATTTTTACAAGGATGATCTTAGAAAAACTCACGATAGCTTCACGGAATGGCTCTGTATAGCGATGTCAAACACACCGTTTTCTGGAGCAGCTGGAGTAGAGTGGGTGATTGTGGGGGTCGGGAGTACCTATGATTTCCTATGTGGGAAGAGTAGGATTGCATGACGCGCGTAGCGACCTCGGGAAGGATACAACCTGCTAACCTCTAAATTCGCATCGCGTTCCAGAAACGTAAGGTTCCTAGACTAAAAAGGAGCTAGCGGTGGCCAACTGTAGTTGGTGACCCCGAGGGGACGGAGCATGGAGCTCTGGAGTGCTCTGGCGTATTTGCGGGTTGGCCTCGTGCCCGTGCATGGAGACTTTATGGAGTGACTGTGGGCATCAAATCCTATCCCAGGCATTGTCCGGGGAGTGGAGGTGGGTCAGGATTCAGGAACTAGATGAAGAGATCTAGAGGTAATTAACAAAACCGCGGTCTTGGTAATTACACGCGCATGTGTATACCCTGGGTATTTAAAAGACGATCCCTCCTTTTCTTATACACACTTTGTTTCTCACTTCTCTATCACATATTCTAATATCTTCACTACTACCCTCCCCACTACCGCACTAACCACAAAGGTTTACATCAGGCACTCGGGCCAATAATCCACAGTGCATATAATATATTAGGTTATTAGGTTTATATAAACAAACATATATATAACCTACCTATCTTCCCATCCCGCCAACGCTCGTCCCTCCCTCATAATCGGAATTCGAAACCCCACGTCGAACATCGATATATCCGAATAGTCGACGTCAAATCAATTCACAATGGCCGGCGGAGCCGTTCCACAAGGGTCCACGGACGTGAACCGGGTCGAGGCGCCCGTCACGCTCAAGGCCTACCTCATGTGTGCCTTTGCCGCCTTCGGTGGTATCTTCTTCGGATACGACAGTGGTTACATCAGCGGTGTCATGGGAATGGACTACTTCATTCACCAGATCGAAGGTCCTGACGCCAAAGTCCTCACGTCCACTAACAAATCTCTCATCACTTCTATCCTCTCCGCGGGTACTTTCTTCGGTAAGCAAAAAAAAAAAAAAAATAGAATACCCCTTTTCTTATACTCATTTTACTAACCTGCGATTAGGCGCTCTCATGGCTGGTGATATCGCTGACTGGATCGGTCGACGAACTACTATCATTGGTGGCTGCCTTGTCTTCCTCGTCGGTGTTGCTCTCCAGACCGCCTCTGCTGGCTTGGGTCTCATCGTAGCCGGTCGTCTCGTCGCCGGTTTCGGTGTCGGTGCCGTTTCAGCTATTCTGATCCTGTACATGTCTGAGATTGCTCCTCGCAAAGTTCGTGGTGCCCTCGTCTCCGGCTACCAGTTCTGCGTCACGGTTGGTCTTCTGCTGGCGTCAGCTATCGACTACGCCACACAGAACCGAAATGACAGCGGCTCCTACCGAATCCCCATTGCTATCCAGATGCTTTGGGCTATCATCCTCGCAGTCGGTCTCTTCATTCTCCCCGAATCTCCTCGATACTACGTTAAGAAGGGCAAGCTCGACCTCGCTGCCAAGGTTCTTGCTCGTCTCCGTGGCCAGACTATCGAATCCGATTACATTCAGGATGAATTGGCTGAGATCATCGCCAACCATGAATACGAATTATCTGTCGTTCCCTCTGCCGGATACTGGAGCTCCTGGGGAGCTTGCTTCAGCGGCTCTCTCTTCAAGAGCAGTAGCAACCTCCGCCGTACCATTCTAGGTACTTCTCTCCAGATGATGCAACAATGGACAGGTGTGAACTTTGTGTTCTACTTCGGAACAACATTTTTCAAGCAGCTTGGCACTATCGACAACCCTTTCTTGATCTCCCTCGTTACTACCCTCGTTAACGTCTGCTCCACCCCCATCTCCTTCTGGTCTATGGAGAAGATCGGACGACGACCTCTGCTCATCTGGGGTGCTTTGGGTATGGTTATCTGCCAGTTCATCGTTGCCATCATCGGCACCGTCACCAGCGCCGACGCTGCCGTTAAGACCATGATCGCCTTCATTTGCATCTACATCTTCTTCTTCGCCAGCACCTGGGGCCCGTAAGTTTATCCCTACTCTTAAATGCATATTTCTCGATTAGTTACTAACATATATATAGTGGTGCTTGGGTTGTCATCGGAGAGATCTACCCTCTGCCCATGCGTGCTCGTGGTGTCGCTCTCTCGACCGCCAGCAACTGGCTGTGGAACTGCATCATTGCCGTCATCACCCCCTACATGACCGATGAGGACAAGGGCAACCTCGGCGCCAAGGTCTTCTACATCTGGGGCAGTCTCTGCGCGATCTGCTTCGTCTACGCCTACCTCCTGATCCCCGAGACCAAGGGATTGACCCTGGAACAGGTCGACCGCATGTTGGAGGAGACCACCCCCAGGACCTCCGCCAAGTGGGTGCCTCACTCCACCTACGCTGCCGAGATGGGCTTCACGGATAAGAACGCCGGAACCCACCACGAACACATTTCTAAGGAGGAGGTTTAAGCGTGGTGGTGATAAATTTGAGAAGATACGGGGAGGCCTTGGGTATGAGTACGAGACCTAGACATAAGACTAAAGATATAATCACTTCGGCGTTGGGGGGCTGGTCCATGATAGGCCGTGGGCATGCAGTTTAAGATGAATTAAAATTCTGTTAACTCAACTAACATAATGTGTTACTATGTATGATTATCTCTAGTGAAGTGGGATGACTAGGTAGGTACCTATTCTTTTCTTATGTGTCGTTATTAATATCAATTCAGATGAGTGGAATAATCAGATTCTGGCTCGTATCGTCATGTTCATCCATCTATATTATTGGATGTTCTAAACAAAAGCTCTTTTGATATACAGTCTTTCTAGTTCCATAAGCCCCCTTTCAATCGTCAAGGGTTGAAGGATACCTTCCTTCCCTTTTACTCTTCTGGGTGTCGTTTTCTAATAAGATTGGCCGTGATTTCCTGCAAGACGGATACGCCACAATCATTACGATCCTCGCTTCTTATGCACCCCAGGTCATCCACAGGTAGATTTCAGCTGTCTCCCAGCTATTTCCGAAAACCCCAACCTATAGAAGAAGCGGCCGTTCTTCGCAGCCGTCGATATCGGAGCTCTCGGCCTACTTGATCGCGTAAAATAGAGTATTCCCGAGCCGGGCTGCGCACAGCAATAGACTTAGGTAGGGAACCCGAGCATCGAGAAGAGTATAGTGCGGTTGAGGGGTCCCCGTGCGTCCGCGTCAGCATCTCTGGGGATGCCAGTAGAGGTCCAAGGTGAGGACCTATGCGTGCCCAGTTGGTAGCTAGACACGTGGCAGGGATAGCCTACTCGGTTGTATACCTGGACAGCTTCGTCTAATATTTCCTCATTGCGACAGATCTAATGGGCCAGGACCTTGGGCACAAAATAGCGGCGGCGACATAGCGCCAAGCATCTTAGATCTCGCGAGATAATTGTCTTTTTGGCAGGTTGGTAGGAGAATTCAAGGCATCGTCAGTGCCCGTCTTCATGTCATGCTTTAGTGTGAAGGTCGGCCCGGACATAGCGCCGTCAGAGTCGGGTATACTCCCGCTCGGCGGCTCCATAAAGTCACTGAAGCGAGTTGCTAGGCCGATCATACCTACTAAGAAGAGTTAACTACTCGCGCTCATAACTCTACGGAGATTTTATTGCTTAGCTTCTAGGGGACAAAGCTTATATGTACATGTCTTCGCTTATATCAAGATCTAGTCCTAGCGAACATGACCAAGATTACTAAATTTTACACTGTCACTATTGTCATAAGCAGGAACTCTACTATGTTACGGCGAACCTAATTGATTTGAACCTACTAATTCATGGCATGTTTGATACATTCTACATAGTTAGATACCTGGTAATTTTGAGTTTCTTACCTACCGCTATGAAGAAACGTTACCCAGTAGGTTGCCGAAGCGCGCCTCGGGAATCAATTCGGCTTCGTGAGCAGAACGTGGCAAATATATCAAACTCCAAAGACTAGATCGTGGGTTAACAAGAGCCCGATGCCAGGCACGTTGGCGCCTGAAATCAAAATGTGACGCATGTCCACACGCTCAGCGTCTAAGACCGGAGACACGTCGCCCGAGAAGCGGCATAAGACGCCCCTGTGTAATCCTATCCAAGAAACATCTGACCGTATGGTTGAAACTTTCTTCGGCTGCTAGTTGCATAGAATACGCGAATTTGAAGACTTCGTCGTAGTTGCTGGCGCTAAAAGCTTAATTGACTATTCTCACGTGTTAGCATTTGTATTAGCTAATGCTTTAAAGTGGTAATTCAGCACATATCGGACCCGAGATGAAATAAAATGAGTATAAAATTTTAAGGTTACGGTTGTCCTTGCGCGAACGCATAACAGAGACGAGATTAGACTGTCTGGGGAAGCTCTTGGCGGCGAGGTCAAGGTCACGTCGGCTGCGAACAAGTTTTCTAGAACGTGGGGGCCGCTTGCAAGACATATCGGCCCTTCTATCGACAGCTAGATTCCCATTCTGTCCCTCTGCAGAGACGTATTCTCCGCGCGGTGTATTGCCTCATCGCGCGCCTAGCGAGAGACACTTACCGACAGGCGCGCTCGGATAAGCTGGCCCCTATATTCCCGGCAAGTAATGTGTCGCATCCACATGTCCGCAGGCAGTCGAAAACGGCCAAGCTAGTCCCGCAAAGGGCGAGAGACGTCGTGAAAGCTGCTTCCGCGAGCGAATAAGTGCTGTCGAGATCCCGACCAATAGGAACGCGGGATGCTTGAGGATTTTAAGACCATATAAGGAATTAGGGATTGCGCAGAATCTCGTGGCAAGTTACATGTCATAGGGCTTCGTCCAGTGGCTACACCTTTCCTCTTGGAGGAAAAATCCGTATTAGCCGGTGGTAGTCGTTCAATCGAACCTTGTCCGGTATTTCCCCAAGCGGCTGGAGCTAACGGGACAGCTACCGTCGGTAGCGAATGAAGCAGCTTGAATTTACCCATCTAGGTATTAGAATCATAAGCCGAATACCATAGAACTTGGGACCTCGGGAATCAGTATCAAGAATTCCATCCATGGTTCTTGGTACCGGTATTCAGATAGACTGATACTAGGTACGCAGTAGCAGTGGACTCTTTTTCAAGGCACACTAGTGCTTCTTCGCTGACTAAAATTTGGCCGAGACGATATCGTACATCATGGCAAGCTGAACGAGCTGATACATGTGCAGAAAATGACCATACAGCATCCCGAAAGTACGTTTTTCGGAGGCGGGAATGGGATCAACATCTAGGGTTACGGAGGGCCATCACTTATCTTCCGAGACCAGGATAATAGAACAAATACACCCTGTTGACGATATAGATTATGATGCTTGGTATAGCTCACAAAAGCTCTGGGCCTATGATAGGATAAAGAAAAGGCAAGGTTGGGATGGTGTAAGGGTGGCAAGTTATACCGTGGGCGATATGCCTTCGATCCAGGGCGGATACTGCCTTTAATCGCCCACGTGCTGCAAAGTCATGCAGCAGAGCATCTTCGGCTCGTGCATGAAGCGGGAGAGGAAAATATTGGGACGTGATGGACTGCTCCCGCATATATCGACGAAGTATGCAGGCCAGGGTGGTAGAGGGGGGAGACTGAGATCCATGTAAATGCGGGTTGATATGTTTATTCTGGTCAGCATGCTGGCCTGGTTTTTCTGTAGCTGAGAAGGGAAGTTAATCGCCATGACGTCCCAGCAGATCATCTGGTTCACGGCAGATGGTTTCGAGGGTATTTCTGGTCATTAAACGGGTCCTTAAGCACCTGAATTGGTGCAAGAATTTGCGAGAGACCTATCGATGCTATTGCCGGAAAAGTAGCCGCAACTGAGTGTAGACGGTCCTCTTGGCATCATCACAGCCTAGGCTGCGTGTGAACTCTTCTAGCGAATTTTATGAAATTTATGGTCTCTATCGCAATGGCTGTTAGTCAACTAACAAAAAAATTCAATGTTTTCGACTAATTTGTTCGACTGTGTTGTGTAAATTTGCACGAAGATGACTTGATAATGCTTGGATGTACCCGAATTCCATTTTGCTTAGCAATCACTGGACAAGAAACGATGCTAACGGCATGTCTTTGATAAATTGAATCCGACAGCCTACCAAGCATTCTGACTGGAGTGTTTAGCCGCGGCGGCAGGTTCGAATACCGTTTCCAGGATGAATATCGTGAGCCGTGGCAAAGCAGGCGATATGGAAGAACAGATCACACGGACTATACCTAAAGACCGTCAGCCTGACCCATTCTATCTAGGGGGAGGATATCGTAGTCCATAGACGCCTGGAGTTCTCATAATCAGGTGATGATTGCGCAAGTTAAGTCGCAATGTGGCTTGCGCTATTCCCGCTCGGCCGTTAGAGTCTTAGGTACGCTTTCATGTAGTCTGGTAATTGGACCACCAAGGTGCAGATGTATAATTATGAGGATTATCCATGCGCCGTAGGAATACCAGGGGGGATAAGATGTCGAGCAGTCACAATCTACATATTACCTATAGCGCAACGGCCAATGACCGGCGTACGGTTGGTTCGAAGTCCGCCCAATCGATAGGTTCCATGAGGCGTTTCTGTGCTGTGTGAGAAGTACGAATTCGACGATTCGACCTGATGAAAACGACCAATAAATCAAGGGTCCGCCTTGTACACTAGCCCGGAGATGAGATGAGCCTAGAGCTTCGTCGGCAATGGAAGCCATGTTCAGTCCAGATGCATTTTTTCCACCTTAGCCCAGGTTATTACCACAGAGGAAATAGAATTCAAGATATGACCGGTCTCGAACGTCGGCAACATCGCCAAGGTAATGACTCGGGACATTAAAGAGTTAAATTGTCCACCTCTTGGGTATTGATATGTGCGTCGGAAAGACGACTCGATGGAATACGGGACCGCCAGTTTAGTGGGCTGGCGTACGCGGCTGAAGTCTCGGACAGCCGTCATATTGGTTTTATTCGCGCTTCCCAAGCCAGCTCAAGCCGCCGGGTACATAGTAGCCCAAGTAGGTAGGTGAGGTGAGGTCGGTTCCCGCCCTCCACACCTCGTTCCATGAGTTCGGGGTCCCGACCACTAGCTAGAACTCCGGGACGGCTTCCTGCATGACCATATCCATAATTTTCGAGACCTAGAATTCACAGTCTCAGAAGCCCAGATACGGTCTAGGTATAGGCTAGGGTGAAAATGAAGTGGCTGTTTTTGTGCAACAAAGGGACCTTGACCGCGAGTACTCTTGGCATGAAAAAAAGAGGCGAAGTACCCAGGTAGGTAGGAGGTAGGCAGCGATTTCGCATCCGTCGTCAATATGTCACAGGAGACGACGGCGTCTAATTACGGGGGAAGGGTCCGCAGGGAGGAAGGGCGAAAGGAAGCTAAAGCGCGGTTTAGCGCGTTGCGAATGTTGTGAGGGAGAGAGAATAGAAAATGATACGTACGAGAAATGATAGAAAGGGCAATGGTTGTAATGTTGCAGTGTTTC